CCTTCTGCCTTCTGGCCCTTGTCACTGGACTCCTGTACCTCGTTAGTCTCATTTGGTTTTACGGGGCTGTCCAGGCTGAACAGTGAACCTTGGAGGTAACTTCACCACTGAGCTAAAAGGGTGTCCGGGGGCCATACTCTCGGGGTTTCTTCAGTCTCCCTTAGGCCAGTAAATCTGGTCTTTTTTTTGTGAGTTAGAATTATGTTCTACATCCTTCTCCAGCTCTGTCCAGATCCTCTGTTGTGATCCTGGTCAGAGCAGTCAATGGTGGTAGCCGGGCACCATCTAGCTGTACTGGACTCAGTCCAGTGGAGGCCTTGGTAGCTGTGGACAATTAGTCCTTTGGACTAATCTTTTCCGTGTATCCTGTTCTCTTCCTTCTCCCTTGCTCCCGAAGGGATGAGACCAGTGGAGTATCTTAGATGGCCGCTCACAGGCTTTTAAGACCCCAGACACTACTCACCAAGGGTAGAATGTAGAGCATTGTCTTTATAAGCTGTGTCATGTGGCCTAGGGACTTTTTCCCTCTTGCTTTGTCTTGATCATGGCAATGCCTGGCCGCTGTCCAGTTTCTTGATACTTCCTTACAAAGTCCTAGGTTTCCTGGGTCCAACATTGATAATGGAAGGTACAAGTCAGACTTTTCTCTCTCCTCTTAGGTTATCACATTCTCATTTGGAGCCAGGAGGAAGCTGGGATACAGAAGCGAGAGACAGTCACAAAGGTGTGTGCCAAGCAAGGGCTTGGAGCTACAAATGGGAACAAGTCCTGTGAGAAGCGGCAGCTATCTGTTAAAGGGCTAAAAGTATACAAGTCTTAGGGTTGGAGCAGGGGCACTGTGGCATAGGGCACTGTGGGACTGGGACACTGGCATGCTACTGCTTTGGACCTAGCTCCAGAAACTTCTCTAGAGTTGGTGACCCGCTGCACCAAGGGTCCCTGCTGTATCTATCTTGGAGCCAAGCTTATCTTGGGGCCAAGGTACTTTTCTTCTCTCTGATGTGCAGAGGCAGGGTATCAGGTATTGTTTTTTAGCTTGTTCTCAATATTGACATGTCCAATAAACCATATCCAACTGAAAGCCTCTGACTGGATCTTTTAGCACTGACCCAGTCAAAGGGCTCCTTGGGTCCCAGAAAAGAAGACAAGGCACAGAAATAGCACTAAGTGTCCAAAACTTTCATTCTCTGGAAGCTGCTTCAGCCTATTCTGGACCATAGTCTGGAGCTGTCAGGCTCATAATCTATACTTACCTCAGGTCCCTAGAGACCCCAGTCCGGCTTAGAGAGATGGCAGCTTCAGGAATCTGTATGCCAACTCCTCCCCCCACCCCCACCAAGTGCAAACAGCCTTCACACCTGCTTAAGCTGAAGGGGTGACAGAGATGCCTGAAGCATTATGTCTGACTGTAATGATGGCTTCAGGTAGACAAAGAAATACTTGACTGGCTGACTGCTGCGTGACCCGGTTCCTCAGTGGCCATGTTTACACCCCCAATGTTGTCATTTTCCCACTAAAATAAGTACTGAGAGGTTAAGACTGTGCCCTCTGAACCATCTGCCAAAGACTCTGGGTTGGCAGAGAATGCGCAGGGCTTAATGGAGGGGCAGGGCAGATCAAGTACCAACTCCTTCAGTTTTTTTTGTCCCAAGTCCTGAGTGGAACCTGAATACTTGTCTGCATCTTCTCAGGCCCCTGGGGAGAATAAAGGAGGCAAATCCTATTTGGAGAAAGCCACAATGTCCAACAGAGAACTTGGTAAATATCAGGCACATGAATGCTGAGTGATAGGTGCCAGGGGCCCAGCCCAGCTCCACTTGTTCATCTAGGCTGGGGTCATCAGAGGGAGGCCCAACCCAGAGTCTCCTGTCCATGGGCTGGGGAGCAGCAACAGTCAGGAGCAAGGGCCCGGCCCACCTTCCCTAGGAGGAAGAGGGAAGGGGGCTGAGTGGTTGTCAGGCATGGTCCTCCTCGTCTGCGATGTGGTGGTAGCCAGGAGGCTGGGCCTGCATCCGGAAGAGGACAGTGAGAAGCAGCACTATGAGGAGGAAGAGGATGGAGCCACATACAGCCAAGGCCACGATCACTTCTGGGTATTGGGGAAGGAGAGAGAAAGGTAATGTCAGCATTCATCCAACAAATACCTGTGCGCCTACTATATGCCTGGTACATTTCTGACATTCGGGACACAAAGTTGGCAAAAGCAAAGTCTCTGCCTCCTGGAGTTCACACTCTAGGAGAGGATACCTGATAGACCAACAATGATAGCAGTGATCAGTTAGTGACGAATGCTATACAGAAAAACGAAGATAAAGGGAAAGCGATGGCGAGGTAAGTCAGTCAGGAAAGGCATCACAGAGGAGGTGGTAATTTGAACAGAGACCTGATGGAAGCCAGTGAGTGAGATGTACCAAGATCTGAGGGAGAAGTGTTCTGGGAGGGGCGGGGAAAGAAAGTAGGAACAAAGGTCTTGATGTGGGGATATACTTGGGATGTTCTAGGATCAGTAAGAGAAGTCAGTCCCACCAGGGCAGAGTTAAGTGAGGGGCAAGGAGGCGATGAGGACAGAGGATGGTATCAAGTAGGCATGGGAACAAACTTGGATTTTATTCCAGATGTGGTGGGAAGCCACTGAAGATTTTGAGGAGGGTAGTGACAAGAGTTAGCTTATGTTTTTTTAAAAATTAACTCTCTGCCGTGCTGAGACACTAGCAGGGACAAGACAGCAATCAAAAAAAAAGAAATTTTCGGAAACTTTTTGGTAGTTCAGGGATGAGATGATGGTAGATTGGACTAGGGAGGCAAGAGCATGTATTTTAAAGGTTGAGCTGATAGGGCTAATGGGCTGGATGTGGGGTGTGAGAAAGAGGCTATCTAAGGTAACTCCTAGGCTATCCTATGCAGCTGGGTAAACTGATGTGGCATTTATTAAGAGGTGATGCCTACAGGGAAGAACAGATTTGGAGGGAAAGGCATTTGGTTTTAGACTATCGACTTTGCAATGCCTTATTTGACATCCAGGCAGACTTCCACTTGGCAGCTGGATACATGAATCTATAGCTCAGACACAAAGTCATGGCTGGAGATAGGAATCTGCAAGTCACAATGAAAAGACAGAACTTGGCACGGAGGTGGAACATAAGACCATGGGGTTAGATGAGATCACCTTGGGAGTGGGCATAGATAGGGAAAGGGCCAGGGACAAGCTCTGGGCCACCCGTTGCTTAGTGGGGAGGAGAAGCTGATAAGCTACCTGCCTGTAGGTTAGGAGCAAAACCAGAGGAAGCCAAGAAAGTGTTTAAGGAGGAGTGATCAGTGATGTAATGCTGCTGAGAGGTGAGAGGTGGCTAAGGTCATTGGTTACCCTGACAAGAGTGGCTTCAATGGAGTGGAAGGTAACACAAGGCTGTCTGAGTCTGAGAGAATGCATGAGGAAGTGAAGCTAGAGTCTAGGTGACTCAAGGACTTCACTCCAGCAGGGCACAGAGAAATGGAGTAGAGAAGGATGTGGGCTGAAGAGGGTTTCTGTTAAGCTATTGAGATGGGAGGGTCCAGTAGTGAGGAAAACACTGAGGCACCAGAGGTCCTTGAGGAGGTGGGGAGGGATGGATCCAGGGTGTTAAGTGGAGAGGTGACCTTAACTAGTGGCTTATCCACTGCCCCAGGAGGGGAAGCAAAGGGTGGCACTCAGATGCAAGTGAGCTGGCAGATCTGGCAGGAGGAGAGTGAGACGGTTCTCTCCTGCTTGTTTTTATTTTCTCAGTGATATAAGAAGTGAAAGCATCACCTGAGGGTGAGGAGCAGGGAGAAGGTGTAAAATGGTCTCAGTATCTTAAGGAAATGCAATAAGATGGCTGGAAACGTGACTGCTCGCTAGAGATTTGTGGACAGAAATTTAAGGTTGGTGTGGGATATGACCAGCACAGAGGCAGGCAGCAGGTTACCTGTGTCTGCAGGACTGCTTGTCAGCTGGCATTCCTGCTGCCAGTCCTTGGGCACAACAGGCTCTGTGAGGCGAAGGAACTCCTGCAGCGGGCAGCGGTGAGGGCAGCCAGGCAGGATCAGCGGCCAGGGGGCCTTATTACTCTCGTTACGGAAGTACATCTCCACTGAGAAATTCCTGAAGGTTGACAGCAGGCAAGATGGGAGCTGCTCACCATGCCCAGCACCAAGACCTTGGTCACTTATGTGAGGAGGGATATGCCCTCCACCGCCTCCAAGGTACCACCTCCCAGGAGCCCCTCCCAAGGGCAGACTGGTAGCTCCCTCACCCATTATCTTCCTGGTGCAATTCAAATATGTGGCAGGAGGCGTAGGGGGCTTGCCGCCCATTGTAGACATCCAATGCCATTTGCAGAGCGACCAGAGTGGTGTCATGCTGTAAGGGAGAGGGGCTCCCTATCAGCACTGCTCCCCCACACCCAGGAACTGAATAGAGAGAACGTCCAGCTCCTTGCTTGGGGTGCATGGAAGCTTACCGTTGAGTAAACCAGCAGCTTGGGGAGTTGGGAGGTGGTTGCCATCAGGGTCAGGTTCTCCCGTATCTGAGCCAGCAGGACTCCTGAAGGAGAAAAGTCCCATGTCAGTGCCTATGGCCATCACTGTCTTCTGATGAGAGCTAACTGCGGTCCTCTCCCACTCAGCTAGTCCTGGGTCTGATGTCTGATCACCAACACAGAGAACTCTGTAGGCTCGTGGGAACCATGTAGGAACTCTACAGCACCCCCTTGCTCTCTAAGAACTTCCACATTTACAGAGGGAAGATAAAACAGGATACCTAGCTATATTTCAATACAGCTGTAGAAACCTGCCCATTTATAAATGAGCTACAAGGCCCTGCCCATGTTTGAAGAACTACTCCTGTTTGGAACAAATGTACATTTAAGATTGCTTCAGAACACACAAGGTGGTGGCCCCATGCCAGGGTAGCTCTGCTCTATGTGTACTCTGGAAACTACTGAAGTGTCAGAAAGGTTTCAGGACCAGCACACCTTTGGGTGTTCACATCAGAAAACTGGCATGTGTATTACATCAGCCGCCTTTCAAGATGGCCCCCAGTGGTTCTCTGGAGGTAGGTATTCGTTTAAGGAGAGAGGGAGGGTTTTCTGACATGGGTGTAACTTAGAATATGAGTAGCAGAAAAGAAGCATGTAAAACTGATATGGCCATACAGAGACAACATGCTAAGCATTGGGAGAACTGGGAGACTGGTGACAAATGAGATGACTAGGGGGATCTGGTTGTGAAGGAACAAACATTTCAGGCAGAGGAGCTAGAGTGTAAGGAGCTCCCACGCAGACTTTTGCTGCTGTCGGGTCCTGAGGAGGGTAGTGACATGCTACTCTTGTCACTTACCCCCCTGAAGCCGGGACTTCTCCGTCTGCTGGTAGATCCCGAAGAGAAAGCGGAAGCTGAAGTCCTTTAGTTGGCTCAGACGTTGCATGGTTTGGAGTGAGGCCCAGGGTGGCAGGACCAGCCCATGTGTTTGCTGTGTACCACAGTGGGCAGGTTAGCGCCACAGGCCCAGGCCAAGCTCTCCCAAGGTAGGTCTCTTCCCCAGCGGGAAGGTGCTTGTGTGTGTGAGGGAGGAGGGAGGAAAGGAGAGGTGAGACAAAGGGACTAGAACCAGTAGACATGGCACAGGGTTGACGCTACAGGGCACACAGGAAAGGAAGCTCGGGCACAAAAAGTGTGACTCGGCAGAACGGAGTCTGATACCATGAGAGCTCTGGGTGGAGAGGAGCAGGAACTGCTGACAACTAATAAACTATTTCCCACTCTGAGGTTCTCTGAGGTTCTTTTTCACCCGTGAGGGAAGTTCCCTTATTTCACAAGAAGCGCCTGCTTGGACCTCCCCAGTGGGAATGGTAGCAAGGCATTGAGTTCTACTTGTCCTGTGACCTAGGCCAGCTGGGGTGGAAGGGAAGAGCGATTACAGCAGGGACCCTAAGCTCACCTCACAGAAGAGTGTGTCATAGACATTCCAGATGGTCTCCAGTGTCAGGTCGGTAAGCCCTGTCTCGTTAGCCACCATGTCCAGAAATTGCTATGAGAAATGGATCAGGGGTCAGGCCTGCCCTGTGGGAAAGGACAGTCTGATGACCTGCACCTCAGCCCCTACTCACTGCATTCTGCGTACTCTCATTTTGATACTCTGGTGTCTGCCGGGTCTCATTCTGCAGCTGCTCATAACGAGGACATGGACCCAGCGGGAACTTCAGCAGCTGCAGATCGAAGGAGGGAAACAGAGGCAGGGAAGGAGTTGGGGATCAGCAGGACCATGGCCAGAGTTGTCCCCTCACCACCTCCAGGGAAGGGCTGGCCAGTCTTACCCTGTCCTCAGCGACAGGCACAGTGTGGACGGGGATAGGCTGCCACGAGATGTTTGGGTTGAAGCGCTGCATCCCGTTGGGAGGGAAGAGTCCAGCCAGGTTGGCCTCGGCACTCATGAGGGTGCGGTCAAAGTCTGTGCTTCGCACGTAAACCTGCAGAGTTGACAACACGTGAGTTTCACATGGCAGAGAAGGCTCTGGGCCCTCAGTGGGGCCCCAGGAGGAGGACCTGGTCCTGATGGTTACCCCACAAATTATAAACCCACCATGCATCTGGCCTCTCCAAGCCTCTTCCCAGCAAAGGTCTGAACACTCAGTAAGGGGCTGTCACCACTCTGAACTCCCCGTGGGAATGGCTCTAGCTCCAAGCCCCTTTCTCCCATCAAAGTGCTTAGTAAGGCTCTCTGGTCTGTCTGTCTGGCTTTATAACCACACCTGTCTCCCCATCTAGACCAGGATCCTTGAGGGCAGGAACTGTCTCCAGTCACTCCCCATACCCTTGTATAAACTAGCTTAGAGACCAGGGAAAGGAAATAAGGAACAGAGATAACCGCTTGTGAAAAAGGAGGAGGAAGCTGTGGGGAAGGGCAGGATCAGGGCAGGCTGGGTCTCAAGGGAACAATAATAACATCTAGATACTCTTGAGGCAGCTGTGGTTGAGGGTGGTAACCAGAGGAACAGCTATCCTCGTCCCTGGGGTAAGGAGAGGAGAAGAGAGGTGGCCAGCATACTTGCAGTCTTCCCGGATGTGTCCTGTCTAAGTATGTCTTCCTTGTAACCCTTTATTTCTTGGCCTGTCTGGTTTATTATCTGATGCCCCTACTACAGTCTAAGCTCCATGAAGATACAGATCTTATCTGTGTGGTGCACCACTGTATGCAAGGTGGTAGCACAGTGCTTGAGCCTTAGGTACTCCATGGGTGGAAAGCCCCAAGTGATTTCACACAGTCAGAAGCTACTTTGCCAGGCCCTTGCTTAAGTCTGTGCTTGAATGCTTAATCTGTTTTTCCTGTCCCAGCCAAGCAGGGGCAACTTGACCTCTAAGGCTTTGTCTAGACAGCTGTCGGAAGTCTTGTCCTGTAGCTGTAACCAGAAACACAGAATGGAGGTCTGAGTGCCCAGCCTTACCCTTGGGCTCCCTGAGGGCAGAGGGTGAGGATGGCAGGTCTCATTCCCTTTGCCTCTTGAGCTCTGAGCCTTACCTCTTGCCGGTGGTAAGAGGTGTTTAGAAAGCCATGGTAGCGCTGCCGCAGAGCCTGGCCCAGCTCCCAATGCTGAAGCATCCCCTCCTGTGGGTAAATCCAAGGGTTAAGAGGGTCCAAGGGGCAAGGATGGCTCTCAAGCTCCCCGGGGCTTAAGCACTGTTGCTTTCCAAGTCAACTAACTCCTGCTGGAAGTAGGAGTAGGCTCATCTGATCCAGAAGTTGTTTATTAAGTGGCCAGTTATGCGTGGCCACAGAGGAAAGTAAAGTTAAGAAATAAGGCCAAAATTAGCACTTTTCTGTGGGGAAATGGCAGTTTGGTGGGGCCTCAAGTTCTATAGCCTCCTCTAGAAGTTATTCCTTCTACAGCTTATCTTGAGGTGGAGACTGGCCTTTGACCCACCTTGGTTAGCTGACCAAACCCCTGGGGCCAGTCTTCTTCCTGATAGGGATCCTTAGGATATGTTCTCACTGGTGAACGATCTCCATGTCGGTACAGCTAAGGAAAGAGAAACCATTTGCTTATTGGTCAGAAACAGCACCTTGAAGGGGAGCACAGAGCCCCCTCTGCCCTATAGTGAGGCAGGAAGCTCACTCCCTCTGGTATTCACTGCAAAAGACCCCAGATCAGAAGTCAGCAGGGCTTCAAACCAGTTCATTCCGGTTCGAACCCCTGCTGAGAATTTGCTTTTCCCACCCCAGATATACTGAATCAGAATCTACATTTTAACAAATGTAGAATCACCTGAGGATCTTGTTAAAATGTAGATTCTGGTTCACTGTATCTGGGGTGGAAAGGCAAATTCTCAATAAGAACTACCTGAGGATCTTGTTTAAATGTAGATTCTGGTTCACCATATCTGGGATGGAAAGGCAAATTCTCAATAAGAACCACCTGAGGATCTTGTTAAACTGTAGATTCTGATTCAGTCTATCTAGGGGTGGAAAGGCAAATTCTCAGCAGGGGTTTGAAGTCCTGGGAGTCAGTAACTTCTTCCAGGTCCCAGGGAATTTTAAGTGGGCTAAGCAATGCCACTGGGGACTTTGGACAAAGCCAAAGGTAAAGGTGGAAAAGGAAAAAGAAAAGTGAAAGCAATGCATTCAGTGGGGAAAAGTATACCTGCCAGTATATAAGCCAGATACAAAGGCTTCTTCAGGAGCGAGTCGCCTGCCTGTTCAACCACATCGCTGTCCCAGGGCGGACTCACCCCGACCTATAATCTAGGGTGCCAATCAATTCTGAAGTCAGCCCCCCAACTCCCTCCTCCTAGAGACCCCCGAGCTCCAGCACCAGCCCCTCCTTCCACCTGCAGGCCTTTGCCCCTCCAGCTCCGACGAACCCCTTGGTGACGCCGTCTCTCATTACCAACGTAACGAAGCGCAGACTCCGGGCCAGGGCAGGTGGCATCACTATTAGGTTCACGCCAAGAAGGAGCCGGAGAAGGGCCGCTCGGCTCCAAGCAGACCGTCTACCCGCCATCACCGCTGTTAAGTCTATTGCTGCAAAGAGGCTGGAACTCGCTGGCTGGCACCTGCAGCAGCCACCCGGACGTAGCCTTATGGACACATACCGGAAGTGCGCTAGCCGCCATCCTGCTAAAGGAGGGGGAAGGATGGTGGGAGCAGGAGGAATCTGGGAGGGTATGCGTGTGGGAGGTTCGCGATTTGGCTGTGGCGGAGGACCGTGGAAATGTAGCGCGACCTGATACGGCAGAAAGGGCTCAAAGGCCTCGTCTTGGTAAAGAAGGTCATGAGTTCGGGTTTGCTTCTCCGCAAAGAGACCCCATACCAACGTGGCGTTTGTAGTGGCAAGAATGGTGGTCGGGAGCAAGCGCGCTCGGGCCGGGGCTCTGCCGGGTCTGTCGTCCAGAGCCAAACCAAATAAAACCAAATCCATTGCGTTTTCTAGTCGATGCCGTATCATGGCGACCCTATAGGACAGAGTAAAACTTCCCCATAGGGTTTCCAAGGCTGTAAATCTTTACGGAAGCAGACTGCCATGTCTTTCTCCCCCGAGTGGCAGGTGGGTTCCAACCGCCGACCTTTTGGTTAGCAGCGGAGTGCTTAAGCAGTGCACCAGGAGGACACCTTTCCAGAGCCAGAGGGGGTGCAAAATGGGGGTGAGAGATGGGAAAATACAGCATGCCCCTCTCCATGTCCCTACCTTGGGGTGGAGTGTGAGCCTTGGCCTCGGGTTGTGTTTTCCAGGAGAGGTCTTGTTTAGGGTGCAGGACACAGCTTATAAAGAGTCCTTTGAACTCCCTCTATTCTTGAGGTTGGTCCCAGTCTAGACTACTGCTCATGCCCGGAGCAAGGCTGCAGTCGCCCTCTCATTTCCCTTCCAGTCCTTCTGCCCTCCCACCTGCCCACTTCCAAGTTTTATTTAATTAGAATCAAGATGTGCCTCTTTCCAGAGGAGTTGAGTTGCGCGGGGTGTTCAGACCTTCCAAAGCCAAAGCAGTGAATCCCCAGGGAAGGAATTTCAGACCAGTAGGGGAGATATTTAGGGGTAAGGGACAAGAACATAGCATCAAGTGGGAGTATGTGGGGTTTTGGCAGAATCAGAGGCTTTCTTGGCATTGGCCCTTAGAATTCAGGTGCAGCCAGTTTGGCCTCAGGGCTTTGTGGCTGTGAGTTTGAAGTGACACACAGCTCCAGGAGAGCTGGAACATAGCCCCCTGGGATGCCTTGATTCCGAAGCACATCACAGATCATCAAAGGAAACAAAACCTGATCAGAACTATCTGGGAAAGGCCAGATCTTTAATCTTGCACTAGGACTCGAGATTAAATTAGTTAGATGTACCTCAGGATCCGAACTTTGCTTCCAGAGTTGTCATGGAGGAGGCTGAGGAGGAGAGCAATTCACAAGCCCCTTTGTGAATCAGATGAAAATTTAGTCCCCTCTCCTCCAGAAAAATGGCACCACACACAAATGGAATTTTGCATGTAATTCCGGGAGATTCAGGAAGACTGCCCGTAATTCAGCATCTCTGCATCCCTGATCTAACCTAGTCCCCTTACTTTAGAGATAAGGAAACAAGTCCAGAGAGAGCAAGTGACTTGCCTAAGGTCACACAGTTTAGGAGGACGGATTAAAACTCAAGCTTTTTGATTCCCTTTCAAATAGTCTTTGTAATGGGCTCTTTCCTGTAGGCTATTCAGACTGCACTGTGAAACTATATTTTAGTGGTCCCAAAGTACCTGCAATAAAGAGGTTTCTAACAGGAAGCCTATTAGTGGGGATTTAGTATGTGTTTGTTTCAATGTGCCTCTTACTGTCCTTGTAAACTAGTAGACCATTTTGCCCTCAGAATGTAAATCTTTGGCTCACTAAATTTTAGGAGACAGTCCAAAAATCCTTCAAATTCATTTTTTGCTTTTCTTTCTACTTACTTATGTTTATATCCTCTGTGCCTGCAAATATCCCATGTAGGAGGGATTGATGAAGCAGATACTATTTCAATTATTATTTAAAAAAAAAAACAAAAACCATTTGCTGTCGAGTCGATTCCAACTCATAGCGACCCTATAGGACAGGGTAGAACTGCCCCATACGGTTTCCAAGGTGATTCGAACTGCTGACCTTTATGGTTAGCAGCCGAGCTCTTAACTACTGCGCCATCAGGCTCAATTATTATAGTGAGAAACAATTCCAGAGAGAGTGAGGATTACACCACAAAGTAGGTGGTAAGGCCAGGAGCTAGCCTTGGACTCTTGACCCCCAGCTTCTGCATATTTTCTACCAGATGATCCTGTGCTCCTAATCACAGATGCAAAACAAAAAAACAGGTAGAAGGGTAGAGAGATAGATACATGGGCCCTTCCCAGGCTACATAAATCAGTCACTGAAGGTGAGGCCAGGTTTGGGAACCACTGCTCTACCCCGTGTTGGCAAAAGTAAGCCTAAATCCAGGTGAGGTGTCATTTTTCCCATCTGGGGAAGCAGTTATTTGCTTTTATTTTTTATTTATTTTTTTAAATGACCTTTGAGTCAGCTCCACCTGTATTCAAAGCTGATCTTTGCCCCTTGCTAGTAACTATCTCCTAGGGTTATTGTGAGGATAAATGAAATAATATATGTCAAAATAGTGTATATAGTAAGGTCTAAAATGTTACTTTTCTTTCCTTTCTGCCTTCTATGTCATTTCTGAACTCATACATCTGGGAACCAGAAATTCCTGGGTTCTCTATCTTGTGATTAGGGGCTTGGGCAGAAGTCATTTGTGTAGGTACACAGTGGCCTGCAAGATGACCCCCACACTTTGCACCTTCCCAGAATGGTGAAGGAGGGAGCAAGAAACAGTTGCCCAAGTCCCTGCAAACCTTACCTTGTGGCCTGCTTCATGGGAATCTGACTGTTTTCCAGGGAGTTATCCTGTAGTGCACGTGTGATTGTAGCCTGGTGAATGCTTCTGTTTTTGCTTCAAGGCCCCTCTTGCTGCAAGGAGAAGCCCTGAAGTCCTGGGGTCAGAAATGTGACTTGGGAGACATCCTGGGGCTGTTGCTTTCTCTGGGAGCCAAGGAAACAGGAAAAGCCCCATGGGACTAGCAGGCCTTGGACCTAATACCTCATGTGGGCTGGTGGGACTATGCTGTGGAGGTGGGGCTGGCAAAGTGGGACATGTGATTCCAGCTGCCAATCACATGACCACTTGCCCTGGCTTGAGGGAGAAGTTTCTGTGGTTGGTCTCCAGATGCTCCATGGAGACATCTCCAACAAGTTTTGGTATTCCCCCATTTTCCTCTTCTTGGGGGGTCCCAAACCCCAAACCTGAAGGGGCATCTCTAGCAGTGAAGCACTGGTAACGCTTCCTCTACATGAGGTGAGGCTGACTCCCTGGCTTGGAGAGATGGTGCCTGCTTGCCCAGCAATTGCTCTGCCCTGGGCATGAGGGCTCCAGAGGTGGTTTGTGTCTGGTTCTGAGCCCTACACCTTGTTAACCTGTACTGGAATACACCAGTGGGGAGACTAGGTGTCAGGAGAAGGGGTTGAGGATCAGGAGTAGATAAGGGAGGCTTTCCCCAACTCCCAGTAGATAGGTTACTAAGCCTCAGGCCAGTGTTAAATTCTGAGTTCCCTGAAACCAGGTGTTTCAGCGACATCTCTGACTATGCTGGAACTTCTTGGGCAGGAGTGGGGAGATGGACAAGGGAGCAGACCCATGATGTGGGTGCTGGGACAGAATAGTTTCTTTCCTAGTGGCTGGAGTCCATAGTTTCTACTTTCCCAGGTCGGCTGGGGCGTTGTGAAAATTGAGGAAGGAGCAAATGCAAGAGGAATGGAGAGCCTTGTGCTCATGACTCAGAGATGCCTAAGCCAGCTAGGGGCCTTCTGCAGGGAGGACCTTGTGATGAGAGAGAACAAGAGCAAAAGCTAGCGGCAGAACTTTTAGACAAGGTGTCAGAGGGGCTTTTCTGAAATGTGAAAATGAATACATGGGCAGATTTTGCAACATCACCCAGCCTGCTATGATCAAGTCTCTGCTCCCTAACCCATTCCCCCAGCTCCACCCCGTGCTTCCTCCCATCTTTCTTCAAGCTCCTTTTCTATTTCTGCTTTCCTTGTCCTTCTCGAATCCTGTTCCTTCTGTTCCACCCTCTTGCTTCCGCCCATCTTTGCTCTTGCCCTGCTCCCTCTTTTCTCCTCTTCCCTGGTTCCCTGTTGATCTCTGTTTCGGTCCTTCTGGCTGCCTGCCCTGGCCCCCTGTCCTTCTATGTTTTAATGTGGGGCCCATGGGAACTAGAGTTCACAGCAAAACAGGAAGAGCCTGTGAGCAGGAAACTGGGAGTTGGGAAGGGGGTGAATGACCAGCAGTAACCTTAGCTCCTTGCCATCCACATCTGGATTGAGGCATCTGCAGGGCTCTCAGCCTCTCCCGCTGCAGCCCACAGCCCCGGCTTCTCCATCTCAGCACTTCGCTGTTCCATCAGACCTGAGAGGCAATAAGACAAGAGGGTCCTGGACACTGACACAGGAGACAGGTGGAGCACAGGGACTGGAGTGAGGACAGCTGGATTCTGAGCCCAGCTTGGCCACTAGCTGTGTGTAGTCTTGGGAACGGCTTTTACATGAGCTTTGTTGTTCTCCTCCGTAAGATGGAGCTTCTGTTATTTCCCCTCCCTCCCCCCGGGGCTGCTCTGAGGCCCAAAAGAGGTGGTGAGGGATGGGCACTGTGGAAACAGGCACTTGGAAGGTTAACAAGGTCCAGATTCAAGGTGCTGGGAAGTCCCATAGCTGAAGGGATTGAGAGGGTAATGTTAACTGCTATCATTTTTTGAACACTTACTGTGTGCTATGATATATTGTTTAATCCTCACAACAGACTTATGTGGCACAAACCACTATTATTATCCCTATTTTATGGATAGGGAAACAGGTTCAGAAACATGAAGTAACTTGCTCAATCAAGATCACCCAGCTAAGAGGAGGGGCCAGGATTTGAACCTAGAATCTGAGTCCAGAGACCAATCACTGAACCAATATGTTGAGATGAAATTGACCAGAGCTAACAAGTGGGGGATAGAGGAAGATCATATGATTTTTCTTGTTTACTTACTCATTCAACCAACAAGAACAGAATATCTACCATGCTGCCTACTCTATGCCAGGCCCTGTTCCTGGGGCTTTAGAGGAGATAAAAATAAATAAAACATTTTGTCTACCTTCAGGGATCTCATGTCCCAGGCAGCAGGGCAGAAAGGCTACAGCTATAGTGATCTGAAGGCAGTGGTGGCTCAGTGGTAGAATTCTCGCCTTCCATGTGAGAACCTGGGTTCAATTCCCGGCCAATGCACCTCATGAGCAGCCACCACCCATCTGTCTGTGGAGGCTTTTGTGTTGCTGAACAGGTTTCAGTGGAGCTTCCAGACTAAGACAGACTAGGAACAAAGGCCTGGTGATCTACTTCTGAAAATCAGCCAATGGAAACCTTATGGATTATAATAGTCCGATCCCTTTGTGCATGGACTGTCCATGAGTGGGGCCGAATGGCATGTTGAGATAACATATTCATCTCAGCCTATGCTGGATGGACGACGGCTCCCTAGACAAGGGAACCTGTGTACCTTCCCAGGTCCATCCTGGGCCGGCACCTGGGTCTGCCACCCCACCCTTACCCAGACCTGCCATTGCTCACAGCAGACCTCCTACCAATCCCTCTCTCTCTCTGCCTCCTCTACTCTCTGTGGACACCTGTAAGGCACTCACAATTAGAAACTTCCTGGAAGCCCAGCACCTGCCTCTCTCCACCCCTGAAGTTCTCCCAGTTTCGCTGGGGCCTGGGGCTAACAGGGAGAGCTCCTTGGTCCTTTTCCAGAGGCATGGGAGAAGGAGGGAGGCTGGGAAAGCAGGCTGGGGCTCAGTGTCGCAATTCCGGGCCGTGCGGGGACCTTTGCTCCGCGAGGTGTCTGTGGAGGGGAGGGGACGCAAACTCTAGGCCCTTCGGATCGGGGTGAGGGGACCTGTGAGGCAGTCCTGTGAGAGCAGCTAAGAGCCGCCGGGGTGAGGGAGGGGCGGCAAGGGGCGAGACGTGGAGCCGGGCGGTCTACAGAGAAGCACAAGCTGGCGCACGGGGCAGGGGTGGCGCCGGGCGAGGGGGCGGCGGACCGGGGAGGAGTCAGCGTGCTGGGGAAGCAGCCCGGGGCCGCGCAGCCAGAAGCTCGGGTCGGCCTCCGGACCGCTAGCAGGAAGGAGAGGTGGCCCGACCCCTTGGCAGTCCCTCCCCTCGGCCTTTCACCACATCCACTTCCCTGGGGCTGCCAGCCCCTCTCGCTTGGCTCCAGCTCTGCGGCCGCCGGCCTCGGGACGAGGGACTGCACCGTCCTCCACTCCCAGCAAGGGGGCTCCAGAGACTGCCCAGCCGGGAAGTCTGGTTGCCTGGGCATTCGGTGGGTCCGCTCCGCAACTCCGCAGGGCCTGGGGCTCTGAGTGTGTCTGGGGGATGGGGGTGTCCTGTGGGTCTTAGAAGGGGCCCTCTGGAGAAGTGAGGAATGATGGTGATTGAAGCTGGGGCAGGCACAGGACAGGATTCTATTCTCTCCCTAGTTCCTATCTGGGAATTAGGGAGACTCTCGGAGGCAGAGAGGAGCCCTGGTGGTGCAGTAGTTAAAGCGCTCGGCTGCTACCTGAAAGGTCGGCGATTTGAACCCTCCAGCCGCTGATGGAGAAAGATTGGTGGTCTGCTTCTGTAAAGACAGCCTTGGAAACCTTCTGGGGCAGTTCTACTTCTGTCCTATAGGGTTGCTGTGAGTCGGAATCTACTCCACGGCAATTTTTTTTTTTTTTTTTTCCCTTGGAGGCAAGAGGTTTGTGCTGGGACCCTGGGAAGTGGTGAGCTTCTCTAGAAGGCAGGTAGGTGCTTCACTAGGGGGAGTGAGCCTCCACCCTATCTCCTGGTCCTGCCCAACTGTGGCTGCCCCTAGTCTGCCCCACACCCTTGAGTGAGGGGGAAGGGGCTTTTCAACTCAGCAACATGCGGCTCTGACACAGGAGAGCAAATGTGCCCACTCACTCCCTGATGGGCTGGAGGGGGCTCCGGGGAGAAAGGGGGACATGGTGGCCGAGAGCTCAGGCTTTGAAGTCAGAGAGGCCAGGGTTGGAGTCATGGTTCTACCACTGCCTAACTGTGTGGCCCTGGGCTATTTACTTAATGCCTTTGAACCTCAGTTTTCTTATCTGTAAAATGGACTTAAGAATAGTCCTGACTATTGTGGCGTCAGGGATATTGTGAGGCACAAGGCTAATAATATATAGCAAGTAAATGCTAGCTGATATTGTTACTACTGACAAAAGGCAGGATAGGAGAAGGCAGCTGAGGCTAGAATGGAGCCCAGCTCTAGAAGAATGTGACCTGGGTCATTCCTGCAGGACAGTCCCTTGGTAATGTCCAGGGCTCCAGGAAGAGATGTCCTTGTGGCTGGAGGCCCCTGTGCCTGATGTTTCTCCTGGTAAGCTGCTTCACTCCAGTCCTCTCCCCTGAGCCTAGGCCTCCTCTCCACCCTCAGGAACCAGACTGCCCAGGCCACCTCTGTCCTGGTTCTGGTGCTTGGCCTTGCAGGCACCTGCCCAGTCCTCCCCAATCTGGGCTTGCTGCTGGGGAGAGCTGGCATGTCTCTTCCTTACCCAGCTCTGGCTTTGAAGAGTCCTATCTGATCTCTGAAATGAATGCACGCTAGCCTCCCAAGGGGACAGATGTTACTATCCTCATTTAAGGTATTGAAGTGCAAGGGACTACAGGTGACTAGTCCTAGGGGCCACACAACCCTTGGGGTCCCAAAGCCTGAGCTGGGGCTCTGCTGCCCTCTAAGGGGAGAGAGAAGTTTGCAGTTTCTCAGCTCGGACTCTGGGGAGGTAGAGCTGGGCTGGACCTAAGACCCCTTTGTGCCTTTCTTTTGAGGCTCAGACTCTGTGGTGGAGCTCTGGGAACCAGATGTGCAAGATGCAAGCAACCAGGCGCTGGGAGGCAGCAACTGCATCCTCAGGGAGGAAGCCAGAGTGCCCCAGCCTCCCCAGGGCACTTCAGAAGTGGGACTGGAGGCAACAGAACCCACAGCCCTGCTCCCCAGGGCAAAGGCCCCTTCAGAGTCCACAGGTGAGGAGGAGGTAGGGGCTCCTGGATCTGGGAGGGGTACCCTGGGGCTCCTTACCCTATAATGTGATGGTTAAGTCCAAAGGCTTTGATGTCAACTAGACCTGAGTGACCTCAGTGTGAATTTTGTCTCTACAAAGTCTTTAGGCAATGACAACCTTTTTGACCCTCAGTTTCTTTGTTTGTAAAATGGAAACAATAATACTACCTATCTCTTTATAGGAGCCCTGGTAGCTCAGCAGTTAAGAGCTATGGCTGCTAGCCAAAAGGTTGGCAGTTCGAATCCACCAGCTGCTCCTTGGAAACCCTATGGGGCAGTTCTGCTCTGTCCTATAGGGTTCCTATGAGTCGGAATTGACTTGATGACAATGGGTTTGCTTTTTGGGTTTGTTATCTCTTATGAACAACGCATATAAAAGGACTCATGCAGTACCTAGGACACAATGGCACTTAGTAAATGAGAGCTACTGTTTTTATAAGGAGTCCCTGAGTGGTGCAAGCGGTTAAGCGCCCTACTACTAGCCAAAGGTTGGCGATTTGAACCCATCCGGAGGCACTTTGGAAGACAGGCCTGGTGATCTGCTTCCAAAAGGTCACAACCTTGAAAACTCTGTGGAGCAGTTCTACTTTGCACACATGGGGTCGCCATAAATGGGAATTGACTTGAAAGTAACTAACAACAGCAACAATTTTTATAATAGACTAGATGGCATATAGCGAAGGGAGTAAAGGTCACTGAGTGCCCAGGGCAGTGGCCAAGTGGACACCTACCTTTTACCTTGGGAAAAACATTAAGGCTCTTCCCTATATCCAGAGCTCCGTCCACCAAAACGGAAAAAGGGACCGGCCCCCAAGATGCTGGGCAACGAGCTGTGCAGTGTGTGTGGGGACAAGGCTTCAGGCTTCCACTACAATGTGCTGAGCTGTGAGGGCTGCAAGGGATTCTTCCGCCGCAGTGTCATCAAGGGGGCACGTTATGTCTGCCACAGCGGTGGCCACTGCCCCATGGACACCTACATGCGTCGCAAGTGCCAGGAGTGTCGACTTCGCAAATGCCGCCAGGCTGGCATGCGAGAGGAGTGTGAGTGTCTGGAGAAGGGAATAAGGGGAGAGGCTGATGGGAAAGAGGGGACATGTGGGTGCCAGGGTCTGGGGGTGGACAGCTACCTGAGCCCACGGGGGCTTCCTAATTTGTTGGGTCCCTAAAAACGGATTAAAATCTCTTCCTTGACTTTCCCCAAAGCCATGTGCTTTTCTGGAGCCTCAAACTGCCCCCTCTGCCCCACCCTTGCTTCCTGTCTTCCCCTCTTCTCCCGTCCTCACATACGATCCCATCCCTAGGTGTCCTGTCAGAAGAACAGATCCGCCTGAAGAAACTGAAGCGGCAAGAGGAGGAGCAGGCTCAGGCCACATCCGTGTTGCCAAGGGCTTCCTCACCTCCTGAGGTCCTGCCCCAGCTCAGCCCCGAACAACTGGGCATGATTGAGAAGCTGGTTGCCGCCCAACAACAGTGCAATAGACGCTCATTCTCCGATCGGCTTCGAGTCACGGTACCTGAGGGACCCAGGGAGAGGTGGCTCTGCACCGGTGGCTTCTTTATGTCCAACTCAGAGTGGCTTTCCTCTTCCTTCCTTGCCCTTGCGAGCAGCCTTGGCCCATGGCACCAGATCCCCAGAGCCGGGAGGCCCGTCAGCAGCGCTTTGCCCACTTCACCGAGCTGGCCATCGTCTCTGTGCAGGAGATCGTTGACTTTGCCAAGCAGCTGCCCGGCTTCCTGCAGCTCAGCCGGGAGGACCAGATCGCCCTGCTGAAGACCTCTGCCATTGAGGTGGCTGGAAGAGGCCAAGGGGGTGAAGGGAGAGCTAGAGCGGGACTGTCTGCGGGAGAGGCCTGCAGACATCTCGCTGGGGAACTAAGTCCACTGGGAAGTAAGGGAGAGGGAGACCGCCCTTCCCTCTAGGGGGCTGTGTGCCAAGACAGCCCTCCCAGTCCCTGTTTGAGGTCTGCTACTTATGCCCAGGTGATGCTTCTGGAGACATCTCGGAGGTACAACCCTGAGAGTGAGAGTATCACCTTCCTCAAGGATTTCAGTTATAACCGGGAAGACTTTGCCAAAGCAGGTGAGAACTGAGATCACAAACGGATTGGGTTGGACCGACAGACACTTTTTGTCATGGGACTACAGAGCCATAGGCCCAAGGTTTGGGCAGCTATAAAGGGAAGTCTTCACTTGTTATTCCAAGACAGAAAGTTAGAAGGCTGCTAGGCCTCTCTCAACTGCTTTCAGCTGACCTCTGTCCTCTGTTGCATTAGCCCAGTGGTTTTCAAACTGTGTTCCCAGGAACCTGAGGGTTCCATGGAAATGTCACCTGAGAGGAGAAACAGGGAGGTAGGGAGCATTCTTTATCCTTACCTTAGCCAAACAAGAAGCTCCAGTTAAATCTGTGTTATATATTGTGCTTCTGCATAACATTTTATATGAAAAAAAGATTTTATAGCTAGGACAAAAGTTTGAGAACCATTGCTCTGAGCCTTTTATAGTAGAGTCAATGATGAACAAATCTTTCTCTAGACAATGCTCTGTAAGGCTCAAAAACTCTCCTTCCCTGGGCTGATTTTCCTCTACTTTTTTTCAGTTGCCCTTTCTGATGGGCCATGGGACTGGAGTTGAAACATTGTAAAGGTGCCCAGATGGGGCGACTTCAGGATGAGAGAGTGAACGTTTCTATAGTATCTGAGTGTGAAGTATTTTCTCCAAGAATTAGCTCACATTGCTTCTCTCTATATGATGCTTGCCTGAGAGCTAAGCAGTGGGGGTATCCTCACATTTTAATTGTTGGTGATGTTTGTGTTAGGAGTTCCTGGGTGGTGCAAACAGTTAATGCACTGGGCTGCTAACCAGAAGGTTGGCAGTTCTGAGGTGCCTCAGAAGAAAGACCTGGCGATTTACTTCCGAAAAATCAGCCACAGTTCTACTCTGCCACACATGGGGGAACTGACTCAACAGCAGCTGGTTTTCTAACATCTGTGTTATGGGAGCATAGATGGGAAAGGATGGAAGGCTGAGGGAGTTTTGCAGAGACTTGAACTAAGGCTCAACAGGAGACCTAGCAGTTTGACAATGAGTGAGTGGGTCTATAAAATATAGCTGTGCTATTACTCCATTCTTGGGTTCATAGATCCTGGTTTCCAGGCCAGAGCACATAGAGTCTTCTCTGCTTTCTGGTGACTCTGGCCAGCTCAGCTCATGTGCCTCTTGCTGTCCCAACACAGGCTACCCAGAGGACTTTCTAGGCAGGTTCCTTGAACTGTAGGGCACAACAGGGCTGTGCCAGCATTTCTGGCCTTTGGGAGTGCTCAGTGTGCTGCCCCAATGTGTAGGGGTGATTTGATGACTTTAAGGTCCTCGGGTAGAACAAATGGTTTGGGTCTGGCTGCTAACTGTAAGGTTGGTGGTTTGAACCCACTCAGCTGCACTGCTGAAGAAAGGCCTGGCAATCTGTTTCTGTAAAGATTGCAGCCTAGAAAACGCTATGCAGCTCATGACTTCATTCAGCTTTAGAAGCCCAGCACTGCTACCTTCTTCTACCAAACCACCTCTTCCCCAAATGATTATTACCCCTGCCCCTCTTAACCATGGCCTTCTCCTTCGTGACACCCTCCTTTATGAACCCTCCCTGGTTCTAATGTCTCTGTATTCCTTGTAGCACTCGTGGACTTCACTTGTGCTATGTGAATCTGTACCTATTTATAGATTTATATAAGCAGTTTCGCTATCATCACATTTGCCTTTCATTTCTCATTTCATCAGTGAGGTTTTGAGGAGAAGAAACGAGGGCTCTGTTTTGTTAGGTCTCTTTCTCCCTCTATATCCACTACCATACGGTTGGCAAAATGATGGGGACTTGATTGCATTTCATTCGCGTCCATTCAGTGAGCATTAGCAGACCCTCACGGGGTGCATAACCCAACTCTAGAGCCTCCTCTTCCTCTCTGTGCAAAGGGGCTGTTGGGCACAGTTTGGGGTGCAACACATGGACGATAGGACACTCACCAAGAAATGCTTTATAAAATGGGGCTTGTCCACCAAATGGATCAACACACACTGATAATAAACATCAGGGTGAAAGTACAGGAAGTGACTAATCAAGAAGCCTCGAATGGAAAAGTGTAGCAGATGGTTGCTAAAAGAAATCTGAGAAAGCCTAGGGGACAGTGTGGGTTGGGGAGACTTTGACAGTGTCTATGGGAGAGCTATTCTGTAGGTGTTGTGACTTTACATCATGGTTTGTTGAACTTCAGTCTTCCTCTTAAGAAGACTGGTCCCATAAAAATATATATATATTATTTATTTAACAAACAGTTATATGGCAAATACTCTGTGCCAGACATTCTAAGACCTATTATGAGGTCAGCACTATTACTATCTCCATTTTACAGATGGGAAAACCAAGGCCTAGAGAGGTTAAATAATTTACCCAAGGTCACACACCTACTAAGAGGTAGAGCCAGGACTCAAACCCAGGCAGTCTGGCTCTAGAGTCCACACCCTCAACCACACTTCTGTGTTCTGCACTGGTACATGAAATGTATCTCTAGTATTTCAAATAAGTAGTGCCAATTGCCAGCAAAAAGGACTTCTTTAGAAACAAAAATAAGTGTTGCCTCTCTAGTAATGTGGGTGGGGCTCTCAAGAGTCTAATAAGAATGGAATTGTTACCATTTTATTCAGCACCTTCTGTGTGCCAGACACAGTGCTAAGTGCTCTGCATGCTTTATCATTTAACCATCACCACAGCCTTATGAGATAGGTTCAGGTATGCATCCCATTTCCAGATGTTGCTTTGAGAGAGGTTAAGAAACTTGCCCAAGGTCACGCAACAGAGCCCTGGAGACTTCTTAGTGAAGTAGTTCCCTAAGCTGAGGAGTTGGAGGAGAGAAGGAAGTTCCTGCTGCTCCTGCCACCTGTTCCAGCCTCCCTTCTTCCTCTTCAGGGCTGCAGGTGGAGTTCATCAACCCCATCTTCGAGTTCTCCAGAGCCATGAATGAGCTGCAACTCAACGATGCCGAGTTTGCTTTGCTTATTGCCATCAGCATATTCTCTGCAGGTGTGGAGGAAGGGCAAGAGGGAAACTGAGCAAGAGACTTGCACACAGCAGGAATTGTGGGGGTGGAGGCCCTGGCTGTGGTATTTTGGGATGTGAGAGGTTGGGTGGGGCATGTCTCTATTTTTTGGTTGTGATTTGGGGTAGGGAACTAAGACCCTGGCCAGACTTGCTCCTCAACTCTGTTGGTGACCTATAGACCGGCCCAATGTGCAGGACCAGCTCCAGGTAGAGAGGCTGCAACACACATATGTGGAGGCCCTGCATGCCTACGTCTCCATCCACCACCCCCATGTGAGTCTCCTCATGGTGCCCTGTTCCCTCCTCTCCGCAGGCCCATCCCTGACACACCTCACCACCTACCTTCCCTGTAAGACCCCTTCTCTGACTACATCGTGCACAGATCATTCTCTACCTCTCCCACAACTCCCCTATCCTTGCCCCCCCTTCCCTAGAGAGAGGCAAAAGTTGTACTCATTTATCCCTCTTCTTCCCCCAGGACCGACTGATGTTCCCAAGGATGCTAATGAAACTGGTGAGCCTCCGGACACTGAGCAGCGTCCACTCAGAGCAAGTGTTTGCACTGCGCCTACAAGACAAAAAGCTTCCCCCGCTGCTCTCTGAGATCTGGGATGTGCACGAATGACTGCTCTTCCCCCATACCTTCTGTTTTCTGGGCCCAACTGTCTGAGGCCCTGTGGCCGCCTCTTAGAGGTGGAAATGACTGAGAAGGGGAAACATTCCCAAGGGGTGGGGGAAGTCAGGGGAGGTCCTCATGGGGTATTAAAAGAGAGTCAAAGGGTTGGGAGATTTGTGGCTGCTGGGCAGTGGGGGTCCTGCTAAAGCTGTGCTCCATCTGACGATCACACTGACTCAGCCAGATGGATGAACCTGGGGGGCCACATTGCACAAGGTTCTCCTGGGCCCAGCCTATCTTGCCTCCACCACTTCCTACTTTCCCCACAGGGCCCCAAGAGAAATTCTCCACTGTCACTCTGTGGCTTGGCCATAAATGCCTCAGGGTTGCTTCACTGATAGGTCTGGCATTGTTTGAACAGGAAAACCAACATGAATGCAGAATGAGAGAAACCAATTTATGGACTGGGGATGGGGGCGTGGAAGAAGAGAAGGAAGCCTCCGTCTTTTAGGACCCATCTGCAGAACCAGAGAAGGGAGACAGTCACAAGAGACAGCCTTGGCAATGAGCGGGGGGCCTCCTTTACTAGCCCTGTTGCATCATATAGGGTCGCTATGAGTTGGAATCGACTGCAACGGGTTTGGCTGTTTTTTTTTTTTTTTTAAATTGCATTATATGGGTAAATGAAATGCTGATGTTTAGACGCTCCCTTTCGTCTTAATGATCCAGGTGGGATCGTGGTGTATTTCTGTCAGGGAAAATTCTATTGAATTTTCTGAACTAACATCTTGCACCTCGTGTCTGGATAATGCCTTAGTTTTTCAGTTGGCATCCGAAAAGTAGGGCCCAACCTGAAAGGTCCAGGGACTGGTGAACCCTCTTCTCGGCCCCCAGACCCTGTGGGACAGGAAGAAATACCCCGTGAGGCCAGGCGGAGGCTGCCGGGTCTCCGGTTTGGGCTCACAAAACGGCTGGACTCCATTTCCCAGCGGACACCGCGGCACCGCTTACGGCCCCCCCCCCCTTGGTGCGCGCCCAGTGTAGGTGATACCGCGGCCGCGCCTTCCAGCCCCGCGTCCCCCCGCCGTCACTGAATTGGTAGGCTCCACCTCCGGGGTAGCCGGCGTTCAAGCCCAGGCGACTGGGCACTTCCAAACCTTGTGCGGGGGGACGATCAGAAAGTCTCAAAGGCAGTTTATCTTGAGAAGTCGCTTCCAGATTAATCAACATTTGGTCAAAATGGACTCTATTACTGTGTCGAATTAAAAACTTTGCGCAACCTAAACAACAGGTATTCCTTTGAGTCCTCCCCTTGGCAAGCAGCAGCGCTGGGCGGACCCAGCGCTCCCCATCCCGTTCCCACTCCTACGTACGGATAGGTGTGTGCGTAGCCGCCTTGTCTGCTCCACCCTTCTGTGCTCGGCTTGGTGCAGCCCCCCCCCCCCGGGGGTGAATGGTACAGCCCTGGCCCCCTTCACCCGCCTTCTATCTCCCCGGGTCCGAGTGGTAGGCGGCCCCCCGGTGCAGACGCGGAACTGGCGCCCGCTCATAGCGGCGCTGGGCCGGGGAGCGACTGACGCGCGGTTTCCCAGGCACGTCCGGCCGGGCCTGGCTCCTCTCCCGAGGCTCGAAAGGTAGGAAAGTCTGGGCCACTGGGGGCTCTGGAAGGCTATTTGGGACGGGGGCTTGTAGAGGGAAATGGGTTGTGAGGGGAAACAAGGGCTCTAGGGGAAAGCGGCTCTGAGGCCTTCAAGGAGTGTGAAGGGGTGTGGGGTCTCGAGTGGGATGGGGTGGGTCCGTGAAGAAAGGGGGCGGGGCCAGAAGTGGGGGTGCGCCCGACTGCCGAGCGGGGTGCAGGCTGCGGGCCTGGGCTCGGTTCGCGTCTGCTCGCGGGTACTGGGCTCGATTCCAGCCCGCCCGACTGGCAGGCGGGCGGCCCTGGTTCCGGGCGGGGGCGGGGGAGAGCTGTCCAGCAGATGAGGGGGCGGGCAGAGCTGTCGCGACCCGAGCCGGGATGAGCACCTGGCGTGTGAACGTGCCTGTGTGTGTGTGTGTGTGTGCGCGCGTGAGTGCACCTTATTTTTTGTTAGAATTCGGAAAGCTATGATTGGTTCTTTTTTTTTTTTTTAATGTGGTGTTTCAAAATTGGCGTGTTGGGTAGCGGAGACTGTTTAATCTTTCCTGCAACTGCTCCCTTCCCCACCCTCGTTCGTCTCTTAATTCTCTCTCCTTTTCCTGCCCTCCGCTCTTCCTTACCCCTGCCTCTCGCCTTCCTCGTTGCTCTAGTTCTCCCCCACGCTGGACCAGCCTGTGCTGATGCGCTTGCAAGGTCACTGAGTGGCCCAGGGAGAGGGAGGAGGGGAGGAGAGCCTCCTGTTGTGCTCACGTCAGCAGAGATGTCATATCGCTCCCCGGTTCCTGTGGTTTTACTATGAACTCCTGTCCAAAACGAAGGACGAAGCCAAAGGGTTGGTTAGCGTGCCAAGGTAGGCTGAAAAGGCAAAGATCATTTAAAGGTCTGTGGATTCTAAATCTGTGTCTGGATGGTAATGTAGGACTTCAGTAGATGGGAATGGTTTTGAGCCTGATGCCTTTGGAATATATGGAAATAGGAACCAGGGACTTTGCTTTAGTAAATATGGTAGAGGCAAGAGGCAGACTCTAAGCCTGGTTAGAAGAGGGTGTGATGTTAGAGGATTTAGAGTCTTCCTGGGGAACGGAAGGAGGAGGGGAAGGGAAGGAGGAGGAAATGACGGGGGGGGGGTGGTGGTGGTGGTGGTGGTGGTGGAAGCCTTGGTTATCTCTGCAACCTGAGTAACTGGAGGCAGTGGTTGTTGATGAGGTATGAATTGTGGGCTAGGACCTGAAGAAAAACCTGTCCTATCACTAGTAGCTAGACTAGTTACAAGATTTTAGGGTTCACACGTGGCTGTGGAAAATGAGGACTGTAGAGCATCATAATAATCTGAATTTGTTCTCAGTGAAGAGGGTTTGGGATCCCCTCAAGGCTCATGGCCCGATGCCTAATATTTTAGCAGGAGATGCTTCAGATGTGATCTTTGAGATTTTGGTAGGAAAGGACTCCTGGTTTTCAATGTAAACATAGATTTTAAGACTTAGCTTTGAATTGCTCTGGTCCTGTAAATTCTGTTTTATTTCAAGGTATGTTGGCTCTCTCCCTAGGCATTTTCTATATAATTCTTCATAGAATGAACTATGCTTTTACCATCTTCCATCTCATTTTTCTATGTCCTTCCCCTTTTCATTCTGCTTGGGAGGAGCTGAGCTCAGCTCTGTCACTGTGCTCCACCTTCTGCAGTATGCTCATGACTCCTTAGCAGTTGGGAACCAAAGGACTGTTTGGGTTCATTAAGCAGGGGTGATACCTAGAAATGAGTATATGGTGTTTTCCAGAACTTGATTTTGCTTATTTGGTGAGGAGATAGCTCTATGAAAAGCCCAAATTAGAACAAGTACAAATTAATGACAGATGGGGGAGAAGACAGCCTAATTCTTAGCAGGTGCTGTCAGTGGAAGAGGGGTCTCCAGATTCAAGAAGAATGAATTGTTAGGGGCTTTGGCTTATTCTGGAGTAGCAGCTGCTAGTACTGTATGGTCACCAAGCAGGGGAGGGGCTGTGACTTTGCTATAAATAGTGCTGGGAACCAGAGTCACTACGGAGACAAAAATGAATCCTATTACCTGCAGGTCCTCTGTTGGGAACAAGGGAAAGGAGGGAGCAGTATGTTGGAGATTTGAGAGGTGATGCAAATAGGTTTTCCTTATTATTAGATAGGAGAGAAAAAAGATAGAGCCTGTACTCATTATCTAAATCAAATAGGGCCTTAAGCATACAGGGAATGTGTATGTATCTGTCTGTGTAGGAGCGCACACACAGTAGCAAACAAGGGAGTGGTGTATGAGTGTGTGTGTGTGCATGTGTGTGTAGTTTAATGAGATTCTCTCTGTGTGTACAATGAACAAGGTCTTAGTGTGACCACGTGCAGAGCACAGAGGTGGAATCCTGGAAGCACTGAAAATAGTCTTGTAGTGGAGTGGATCATTTTATTTAGAGAAGTGTATAGAGACCCAACATGAAATAAATTAAGACGATGTAAGCTTTTCTTTCCTAAGGGGCCTTGGTGACGTAGTGGTTAAGCACTCGGCTGCTAACCAAAAGGTTGGCCGTTCAAACCCACCAGCTGCTCTGTGGTAGAAAGATGTGGCATTCTGCTTCGGTAAAGATTACAGCCTTGGAAACCCCACAGGGCAGTTCTACTCTGTTCTACAGGGTCACTATGAGTTGGAATCAACTCGATGGCAACGGGCTTTTTAAAGCTTTTCCTAATTTTAGGACTAAAGTTTAGGCATCTCTCTGACCACCTGTCCTCACTCCTTGCAGAAATCCTGGCATTTCTGCATCTACTTTCTTATGTCTGTAAGATAAAGTAGGACAAGACCTCATCTGTATATATTATATTACTGATTCCACTCCTGGGACCAGAATAGAGGAGAAAGGCTATGATTCAGCACCAAGGTCAGAGCTAGTAGCAATAGCCACTGGGCCCCCTTTCTTGCTTGAAGGAGAAATGTGGTTTAGTTGAAACAATTGGAGCATAGACATTCTTCCTTTGAGACTGTATGAAGTGGAATAGCCAGCTGTTGTTATTGTCTGAGTGCAGTTTTAACTATACAGTCTGTATGGTTTCACATCAAGCCGAATGCAGACTGTTGGAACAAAGAATAACTAGATTTCCGTTTAGACCTAGGGGTGTGGTTAATGCTGGTCAGAGAGTCTGGTTTGATCCTGATCTACCCTGGCGCAGTCCTGTAAGTGACTTAATTTTTGTTATCATAATTACTGATAAGACTGCCTGGGTCTGTTTTTCAGAAACAGAGCCCTAAGGGCTAGGCTGGAAATAAGCTAGTTTGTAGAGATGGGGAGGTGAGCCATTATTTATCCTATTTCATGACATTTAACTCTGTGAGCTCATAAGCCTAGATGGAGTTCTAGACTAGGAAAGTGTCATGTTCTCCTATCTTTAGCACTAAAATGGAAGACCTTCTGACCTATGGCCTTGCCCGGGCGGAAGTTGAGAGGGATGAGTCTCTCAGACACAGTAATGGATCTATCTTATCAGTACTTTTTTCCTTTTACACTTGCATTTTCAGATATCAGAATTCTCTCTGGGAACGTTGACCTCTTGCTTGGTGCACTGAAGTTTCTCTGAGATGAACTGATGCATTGGAACCATGGTGCAAAAAAAGAAGTTCTGTCCTCGGTTACTTGACTATCTAGTGATCGTTGGGGCCAGGTAACCAAAACGAGACTTATTTTTGTCTTGTCATTGGGGATAGCCACAAAATCTGCAGTTATTCCCCTTCCTCATTACCATGTTGTTTTGCATATCTCCTTCCCCTGTTATTTTACCCCATGGGAACCTTGATGCCAGTAGTGAAAACAGCACAGTCAAGTGTGTTGAGAGTAGTGGCCTTGAGCGGTAGAGACAGAGCAAAACTCTACTCTTAAGTAGCATGTTTGTGATCTTGAGCAAATATACTCTTTCTTCTCCAGTTTCCTTATTTTGCAAAAAGGGAAAGTACGTTGTGCTCCTTTTCTACCTACATGTGCTCTTTTGCTAATATATGAGCTAATACACCTTGAAAGGTGCTGATAATTTTAAGGTGTTAGTGATAATTTTATTGTTGCAATTTTCTTTTCATTTTAGGTTAGGTGTCTCCAGGACAGTACAGACCACATTTAGCCTAACAGCTAAATGTGGCTAGCAGCACCTATGTTTTCCAAGGCCCTACAGTTAGGTTACTTTATCCAAAATAGCATATTGAGCTTTATTTGTTGACTGTGGTTAAAATTTAAACGTGCTTTCTATCCCCTCAGGCTGCTGAATTTGCTTTTATATTCTTCAGGCATCCAAGCAGTGATAGTGTGGCTCAGACTCCTGAATTGCTACGGCGCTACCCTTTAGAGGATCATGCCGAGTTTCCCCTGCCCCCTGATGTGGTGTTCTTCTGCCAGCCAGAGGGCTGTCTGAGTGTGCGGCAGCGGCGCATGAGCTTGCGGGATGATACTTCTTTTGTCTTCACCCTCACTGACAAGGACACTGGAGTTACACGTTATGGCATCTGTGTTAACTTCTACCGCTCCTTCCAAAAGCGAATGCCTAAGGAAAAGGGGGAAGTTGGGACAGGGTCCCGTGGAAAGGAAGTAACCCGTGCCACGTGTGTCTCAGAAGAGGTTGGCACTGAGAGCTCCGAGAGTGGCACATCCCTGCAGCCTCCCAGTGCTGACTCCACCCCTGATGTGAACCAGTCTCCTTGGAGCAAACGCCGGGCCAAGGGGGGAGGCCGTTCCCGCAACAGCACCCTGACATCCCTGTGTGTGCTCAGCCACTATCCCTTCTTCTCCACCTTCCGAGAGTGTCTGTATACCCTCAAACGTCTGGTGGACTGCTGTAGTGAGCGACTACTGGGCAAGAAGCTGGGCATTCCTCGAGGCATACAAAGGTGCAGTTTGCCACTGACCCTCAGAGGAGGGAAAATATTTAGGGGTTAGGTATAATTGGTCTGTGAGGGGCTTAGGAAATTTCCTCAAGCCAGAGGTCTTTCAGACCTATTTAAGGAAGCTCCATACTATTAGAGGGCAGTGGTGGCTCAGTGGTAGAATTCTCACCTTTCTTGCGGGAAACCGGGGTTCAATTCTCAGCCAATGAACCTCATGCACAGCCACCACCCATCTGTCATTGGGGGCTTGCTTATTGCTATAATGCTGAACAGGTTTCAGCAGAGCTTCCAGACTAAAAAGGGATTAGGAAGAAAGGCCTGCTGACTTACATCTGCAAATCAGTCACTGAAAACCCTGTGAATCACAATGGTATGATCTGCCCCCATTCATGGGGATTGTGCAGGACCAGGCAGTGTTTCGTTCCTTTCTGCATGGAGTTGCCATGAGTCGGGCACCAACTCCGTGGCAGCTAACAACATATTATGTTGATTCTTACTAAGGTAAAGATTGCTACAGAGTTAGACCTCCTACCATAATTGCACTTGAAGTAATCGTGATGAATTTGGTGTTTCATGGTGGATAGGACGATAAGTCCTACCATGCATACATTCTTAACACACTTGTTCTTTCTCTTGTATATATCCTCTGATCCTATCTGAGCCCATAGAGTGGGCTTTCCTAGTGATACTCCTTTTACAGTTGTCATCATTGTACCCTCTGTGGTTATATTGGGTTGCAGTAGAGTATCAACTTCTGATGCTTATTGTCTGTTTCCTGCCGTCTGCTCCTCAGGGACACCATGTGGCGCATCTTCACTGGATCATTGCTGGTGGAGGAGAAGTCAAGTGCCCTTCTACATGACCTTCGAGAGATTGAGGCCTGGATCTATCGATTGCTGCGCTCACCAGTTCCCATCTCTGGGCAGAAGCGAGTAGACATTGAGGTCCTACCCCAGGAGCTCCATCCAGCTCTGACCTTTGCTCTGCCAGACCCCTCTCGATTCAACCTAGTGGATTTCCCACTGCACCTTCCCTTGGAACTTCTGGGTGTGGATGCCTGTCTTCAGGTGCTAACCTGCATCTTGTTAGAGCACAAGGTGAGAGGACCAGCTTTCTAGGGAAAAGGCTTTAACAGCCAAGAGGCAGACCATGAACTCTTTGAGGACAGGGACTGTATCCTTTTTATCTCTTTGTCTCCTGGAGGAAACACAGTGCTTGGTATACAGCAGGTACTCGGTAGATGTGGGCTGAATTTAGGTACTGGTATGGACTTGACAGCAACGGGTTTTTTTTAAAATCATGTGGTATGTATTTAGAGAGCTTGTTACTTAGTTGAATTATCCTTGCCTCTACTGACCTCATTCTCTGGAAATATCAATAGTTCTATTTCAGTGAGGGGCCCTGGTGGCACAGTGGTTAAAAGTGCTTGGCTGCTAAAAGGTCAGCAGTTCAAACCCACCAGCCACTCTGTCAGAGAAAGATGTGGCATTGTGCTTCCGTAAAGATTTGCAGCCTTGGAAACCCTATGGGTCACTATGAGTAGGAATTGACTCGATGGCAGTGGGTTTGATTGGTTTCTGTTTCAATGAGTGGTCCTGGGATGGGGATATAAGAACTAGGAAGTTGTCTGAGTTACCTAGTACTGCTGTAACAAATACCACAAGTAGATGGCTTCAACAAACAAAAGTTTATTCTCTCACAGTCTGGTAGGCTAGAAGTCCAAATTCAGGGTGTCAGCTCCAGGGGAAGGCTTTCTTTCTCTGTCAGCTCTGGAGGAAGGGCCTTGTCATCAATCTTCCCCTGGATTAGGAGCTTCTCAGCACAGGGACCCTGGGTCCAAAGACACGCTCTGCTCTTGCCACTACTTTCTTGATGGTATGAGGTCCCCAGTCTCTCTGCCTGCTTCTCTCTTTTATATCTCAAAAGAGATTGACTTAAGACACAATCTAATCTTGTAGATTGAGTCCTGCCTTATTAACATAACTGCCTCTAATCCTGCCACATTAATATCATAGAGGTAGGATTTACAGCACATAGGAAAATCACAGCAGATGACAAAATCGTTGGCAATCACACAATACTGGGAATCATGGCCCAGCCAAGTTGACACTTTTTTTTTTTTTACCAGTCAATTTATTTTTATTTTTTCCCATACAAAAATTTACACATACATTGTTATGTGACTCTAATTGCTCTCCCCATACTGTGACAGCACACTTGTCCTTTCCACCCCTGATTCCCCATGTCCATTCAACCAGCTCGTAACTCTCTCTGCCTTCCCATCTCACCTCCGGACAGAAGCTGCCTGTTTAGTCTCTTCTATCTGCTTGAGCTAAGAGGCACACTCCTCACGAGTATCACTTTATGTCCCACAGTCCAGTCCAATCCCTGTCTGAAGAGTTGGCCTCAGAAATTGTTTTAGTTCTGGGCTGATAGAGAATCTAGGGGCCATGCTTTCTGGGGCTCCTCCAGTCTCAGTCAGACCATTAAGTCTGGTCTTCTTAGTAGAATTTGAGTTCTGCATCTCACCTTTCTCCTGCTCCATCCAGTACTCTCTGTTGTGTTCCCTGTCAGGGCAGTCATTGATGGTAGCCAGGCACCATCTAGTTCTTCTGGTCTCAGGCTGAAGAAGTCTCTGATTTATGTGCCCTTTCTGTCTCTGGGCTAATACTTTCCTTGTGTCTTTGGTGTTCTTCATTCTCCTTTACTCCGGGTGGTTGGGACCAATTGATGCATCTTAGATGGCCGCTTGCAAGCGTTTAAGACCCCAGACACCACTCACCAAAGTAGGATGCAGAATATTTTCTTAATAAGCTTTGTTATGCCAGTTGAGCTAGATGTCCCCTGAAAGCATGGTCCCCAGACCCCTACCCCTGCTACTCTGTCCCTCGAAGTGTTTGATTGTATTCAGGAAACTTCTTAGCTTTGGTTTAGTCCAGTTGTCCTGACTTCCCCTGTAGTGTGTGCTGTCCTTCCCTTCACCTAAGATAATTCCTGTCTACTATCTAGTTAGTAAATAACCTCACCCTCCCTCCTCACCCTCGTAACCATCAAAGAATGTTTTCTTCTGTGTTTAAACCTCTTCTTGAGTTCTTATAATAGTGTTGACACATATTTTGGGGGGACACAGTTCAATCCATAACATTCCACCCTTTGGACCCCCAAAAGTTCATGTCCTTGCCTTATGTAAAACACATTCACCCTATCATATCATAGCAAAAGTCTTCAATCAACTCCAAGTCCAAAATCCAAAAATTCTCTTCATCTGTGAAATCTAGAATACAAGTTATTTGCTTCCCAAGTACAATGGTGGAACAGCCATAAACTAGACATTTCCATTACAAATGGGAGAAATTAGAGGGAAAGAAAGGATAATAGGCACCAAGCAAGTCAGCAGAACACATTACACTAGCTCTCATGCCTTGAAAATAATCCTCCATTCTCTGAGACCATTTAGACAGTGTCCCTGCCCTTCAGACTCTGGGTGTTGGCCACACTATCAGGATTCAGGATGGAGGCTCCTCAGCCCTGGGCTTCAGCTCCTCCTTCCAGGCCCACTGGAATGGCAACTCTGCTCCCTCACACTTGGGCAGCCCCATTCTCCCAGTCCATCTATCCCCTCAGCCCCAGCAGGCCGCATTCTTGCGCCCCTTGGGCATGGCAGCCCTGCCCTCTCAGCTTTGGATAGTGGATCCAGCCCCATCCCACTGGCATTCTTGAATGGCAGCCCCACACTCCAGAACTAAGTTGGTGAAAATCTGACTCTTTGAAACCTAGGAGGCTGTGACCCTACTCCTTGAAGCCCCAGAGGCCATGGTTCCACCCTTTGAGACCCCTGAGGTTGTGGCCATGCCCTTTGAGACTGAGGCGGCTCTGCCTTCTGTGTGCCTTGTCTCTTCAGCTTCTGTTTCCTGGGTCCTTGGCCTCTCGGCCTCTCAGGCCTTTGCTGCCCACATCTGCCCTGCTGGGACAGGTGTTCCAAAGCTCTTTAGCTCCACCAGTAAGTGCCTGGAGGCACCCCACTCCCCCAGTAAACTTCAGCCAGAAAGCACTCAGCTCTCTTGCTCCATGGGTGGGCAAGCGTAGCTTCATCAATAGGTACCTGGAGGCACCCCACTCTGCCAGGAAACCTCCTGTGCAAAGGCACTCAGCTCTCTCGCTCTGTGGGTCAGTCCCAACACCGTCTTTCACTGGTCTCCTGGTTCTGCTGCTGCCGTTTCTGCGCTACTGCCATTTCTCTGATGCTGCTTCTCGCAGTCTGCACCATCTCCAGTGTAACAGCCCTCCTTACTTCCGAGTCCTCACCAGAATTGTCTTTGATGTCCATAATTCTACCAACAGTCTCTTCAAGGCATTCTAGGCTTTTGCTATTAGGCACTTTAAAACTCTTCCAGCCTCTACTCTTTCCCAGTTTCAAAACCACTTCCACATTTTAGGTATCTGTTAGAGTAGCACCCCACTGTCCCAGTACCAAATTCTGTCTTAGTTATCTAGTGCTGTTATAACAGAAATACCACAAGTGGATGGCTTCAACAAATAAGTATATTCTCTCACAGCTAGTAAGCCAGAAGTCCAAATTCAGAGTGTCAGCTCCAGGGGAAGGCTTTCTCTCTCTGTCAGCTCTGGAGGAAGGTCCTTGTTATCAGTCTTCCCGTGGACTAGGAACTTCTCAGTGCAGGGATCCTCGGTCCAAAGGACATGCTCTGCTCTTGGCACTACCTCTTGGTGGTATGAGGTCCGCCAGTCTTTTTGCTTGCTTCTCTCTTTTATGTCTCAAAAGAGATTGACTTAAAACACAACCTAATCTTGTGGATTGAGTCCTGCCTTATAACTGCCTCTAATCCTGCCTGGAGGTAAGATTTACAACACATAGGAAAATCACATCAGATGACAAAATGGTGGACAATCACACAATACTGGCAATCATGGTCCAGCCAAGTTGACACATATTTCTGGGGGACACAATTCAGTCCATGACCGAAGGTAAGGAGTGATTTCAGAGAGGATTATTACTGTGCTCAGATTGCAAGGTGGAAGGCATGCTGGGGCATGGGGCAGTAGTGATTGTGGAAACTAAGCTCCTGAAACCGTAGGTATGGTGAAACAGTAATAAAGTTGTGTTGGAAGCTGTTTTTACAAAATCTTACTTTATGCTGTTGAGTGATCCTTATGATATGGCTTGTGGCAGGTGGTGCTACAGTCCCGAGACTACAACGCACTTTCCATGTCTGTGATGGCATTCGTGGCAATGATCTACCCACTGGAGTATATGTTCCCCGTTATCCCACTGCTTCCCACCTGCATGGCATCGGCAGAGCAGGTAAGTCTCCAGGTGTCTTCTGATTTTGTCACATCTATTTTCCAGCTTAGTCCAAGTCTGAGGGAGAAGGCGCAATGCCCAAGGAAGTTTTAAGTCAGTAGTGGCCCCTAGTCCCTTATTATAGCTTATTTATTTGCAAAATATGACCTGACCTGAATTGATACCGTGGCAAAACCTATGCTATTATTAGGATTTATTTATCACAGTTAATGTTAATAATTATAGGCTACTGGCCCAAACCCTGCTGCAGGTGTTACATAATATACAGAATATGCACTGTGTTAGACTTTTCTAAAGTCTGAAACATTCTGAATTTTGAAACACATCTAGCCTCAAGGGTTTTGGAAAAGGGATTGTGGACCCGCATTTCCTTATCTAGAAAGATCTTGACTGAATATGTGAGATTGATCATGATAGGTTTTATTCTCTGTTTCTTCTTTATCCTTCCTACAGCTGCTGCTGGCTCCAACCCCATATATCATCGGGGTCCCTGCCAGCTTCTTCCTCTACAAACTGGACTTCAAAATGCCTGATGATGTATGGCTAGTGGATCTGGACAGCAGTAGGGTGAGATTCTTGGCTGAGGCATGGTAGAATCTAGAACAGGACTGTGTTTTGTTTTTTAGATTTTACCCCCAGGAAGGGCTTCTAAGTTGGTGGGTGATTTCTGTTGTGAGACTCATTGAAACCAAAATTTTAATGCTGCTTTTTAGTTATTGGCCAAATAGCAAGTTGTGCAAAAAGGCCCTTGGTATATGGGACATAGAATGATACTCGTGAAGAGCGTGCCTCTTAGCTCAAGTAGATACATGAGACTAAATGGGCAGCTCCTGTCTGGAGGTGAGGTGAGAAGGCAGAGGGGGTCAGGAGCTGGTTGAATGGACACAGGAAATCTGGGGTGGGAAGGAGGAGTGTGCTGTCACAGTATAGGGAGAGCAACTAGGGTCACATAACAATGTATGTAGAAATTTTTGTATGAGAGACTAGCTTGAATTGTAAACTTTCACTTAAAGTACAACAAAAAAATTAAAAAAAAAAAAAAAAAAAAACCCTTGGTTAGGACTCAAAGAATTACAGGATTTAGTTTTGCCAAAATTAAATGCTGCCCTGCACCCCATCTTCCAAGAGCAGTAGGGCAGTTGTGGTTGGCAGGACCATCACATATGTGTAGGTCATCTCGTAATGGCTTTCCTGGGGGCATGGTTTCCAGTAAGAAACTGTCTTTCAGTGCAGACTTGTAAAAAATTTCTGTTAATGTTCTGCAGCGTGAGTAGATTCAAAGTTTGGTCCTGTTAAAACCTGTTGCCATCAAGTCAATTCCGACTCATAGCCACCCTATAGGACAGAGTAGAACTGCCCCATAGCGTTTCCAAGGCTGTAAATCCTTATGGAAGCAGACTGCCACATCTTTCTCCCGTGGAGCAGCTGGTAGGTTCAAGCTGCAGACCTTTCGGTTTGCAGACGAGTGCTTAACCACTGTGCCACGAGGGCTCCTTCCAAAGTTTGCTAGGAAGCCCTTTTATATATATATACATTCTTTGTAAAACTTTAGAAAATACAAATAAGTATAAGGAAGAAAATAAAAACCATAGTCCTGTTATCTAGAGATAATCATCAGTAACATTTAGATATATTTCCTTTCAGATGTGTATGTATGGTAAATGTTTGTGTACATATAATGTGCGTATACTTATTATATATATGATAATGTTATTACGTGTGCAACTTCCTATTCTTGTTATTTACCAAGATGTAAGAGAAACTCCTGAGCAGCTCTAAGGATGCCTATTGTCTTTCTCTGATGCAGGTGATTGCCCCCACAAATGCAGAAGTGCTGCCTATCCTTCCAGAACCAGAATCATTAGAGCTGAAAAAACATTTAAAGCAGGTAGGTGAAGAATGAAAGAAAGGAAGAGGAGCAATAGAGGCTGTTGGATTGCTGTAGGAAGACAGCTATTCTAAGAGCTAGTTTCCTTTCAGTGGAATAGATTTTTGTAGCCTAGGATGGGCCTAAGAAGAGTTACAGTCCATCTTTGGGTAGCAGGGTGAATATTCTCTCAAAAAAGGCTCTTTAGATTCCTTCTATTTCACTGTATGCTGTACCACCGTCTAATGATTATGATGCTGTATAAAACAGCCCATCAGTTCCTATTTCTTGTCATGTCTGCCATTCTTTATGGCCTGGGAGCATTCTCTCAGCCTTGTAAGGTGGGAGTTAGTAGTTTGGATAATCAGGCTCCTTTTACATTTTCTTCTTGAATTGATCCCTAGGTCACAATAGCATCCTTTCTTCAAAAATTCCTTCCTTTGAGTAATCTCTTAAATCTGTTTTTCATTGATTGATTTTCTTCTTCTGCATGCTGAACCCAGTATCTGAAGGTAAAACATGGCAAGGCTCCACCCCTTGCCCTGCTCTATGTGTTGTGTAGGACCACCAGTAGATATCACTATATCGTTTTTAAGAATCTCCGTTCCCTTTTGAAGGATCTTCAGGAATCTCTTGCTGTGTTGTCTGAGGCACTTGATAGTACCTCTCAATGAGAGATGTTTGGATTTAAATTGATCATTTTGTATCACCCCTTTATTCTCATTTGCTTCATGCTGCTGAAGTAATGTATCTTGTTACTGCAGTCTGGTGGGCATTTCAAGTTCAGAAGGTTCTCTAGCTGCCTTCCCTTGCTGTTTTCATTGGTGATTGCTTTAGTATGACTAATGAGACAGAAGGGTTGATAGGTGGAATTACACTTCAAATGTTTGTAGGAGCTAAGGTCTTTGGGTTCATTAATCCTGTATTCTGACCTTTGCTACTCAAAGTGTGGGCCGTAGACAAGCAGCATTAGCATCACCTGAGCTTGTTAGACATGCAGACTTATCCAAGACCTATTGAATTAGAATCTGCATTTTAACAACATCCACAGCTAATTCCTGAGCTCAGTGAAGTTTGAGGAGCACTGCTCCATGGAGCCTCTTAGCAGCTAATTTAGGTTGGGAGCACCCAGCATTTGAGGCTCTGAGTTCCTTATGTCCTTTAGAGAAGCTCCACTTTTACATGTTGTTTATATTTCCACATAAAATTTCAATTGAAAAATAAGATTTCATGGCTAAAATACATTTTAAAACTATACCCTGGACTTCAGATTTAATCAAGTTGCCTTGAGCTAGAATGGCTGAGTCATCTACACCATTCAGATTATTTTCCAAAAGCTAAAATATTTGAATTCTTATTTCAAAGATGCAGGCTCTGAAACAAGTTGGCCTTAATTTGAGAATTAGCCCAGTTCTTTGTTACCAAATGTTTCTAGCAGAGAGTGTGATATAGAAGACTTTAAGAAGTCACTTTCCTAGGAGATGAGTTTGGCTAGCCTCCTAGGGAGCAGCCTTAAATGAGGAATTTCTTCTTGTTCCACAGGCCTTAGCCAGCATGAGTCTCAACACGCAGCCCATCCTAAATCTGGAGAAATTTCATGAGGGCCAGGAGGTCCCACTTCTCTTGGGAAGGCCCTCTAATGACCTGCAGTCCACACCTTCCACTGAATTCAATCCACTCATCTATGGCAATGATGTGGATTCTGTGGATGTTGCAACCAGGTAAGAGCAAGCGGACTATACAATCATGAATTCTTAAACTGGTCCCTTTGTTCTCTCACTGACCTTGGGGCAGACTACTTCCCTTATCCAGAGTTCCTTTACATATAAAATGGGCATGATATTTGGCTTATACTTGCCATCTTAGTAAAAGCAAACAGCAAATAGTTCATCCCACTCGGGCCTTTCAGGCCTTGGATGAAGAGGTAGAGTGATGATTCTTCAAGATATCTCTTCCCTTGAAGTTAGAAGCATGAGACTTTGGGAGGTGGTCCAAGACAACTTTGGAGGGTATGAGACTCAGATGATCTCACTATCCCGTTCTTCCACAGAGTGGCCATGGTACGTTTCTTCAACTCCCCCAACGTGCTGCAAGGCTTTCAGATGCACACACGTACCCTGCGTCTCTTCCCTCGGCCTGTGGTAGCTTTTCAGGCTGGCTCCTTTCTAGCCTCACGTCCCCGGCAGACTCCTTTTGCTGAGAAATTATCCAGGACACAGGCTGTGGAGTACTTTGGAGAATGGATCCTTAACCCCACCAACTATGCCTTTCAGCGAATTCACAATAGTGAGTCCACCTACCCTCAGCTCTGCCTCACCTTTGGCCTTTGTCCTCCCAATTGCTCTCCCCTTTGCCTTTTCCCTTTCTAATCTCTGACCTGCCCCTTCCATTCCTGTTTTGCTTTAGACTTTTTCCTATATTTCTTTTATGTTCTGCTTGCTTTCTTTTCCCTGCTGCAAACTTTGTTCTTTTTCCTCTTTGGGTAGATATGTTTGATCCAGCCCTAATTGGTGACAAGCCAAAGTGGTATGCTCATCAGCTGCAGCCCATCAATTACCGAGTCTATGATGGCAATTCCCAGCTGGCTGAGGCCCTGAGTGTGCCGTCAGAGCGGGACTCTGACTCTGACCCCACTGATGACAGGTGAGCATCCCTCATGGCAACACTAAAGTTATTTAAGATAAGGCGGCTCTCACCAGCCCTCATTTAGCACCAAACCAAACCTGTTGCTGTCGAGCCAGTTCTAATTCATAGCAACCCTATAGGACAGACTAGAACAACCCTATAGGGTTTCCAAGGAGCTGCTGGTGGATTTAAACTGCTGACCTTTTGGTTAGCAGCTGAGCTCTTAACCACTGCACCACCAGGGCTCCTCATTTAGCACAGTAGGGCAAAATCTCATAGGATTTAGGCATCAGTCTTTGAAGCCTTTGGTTATATTTTGGCTGATTGTTTTTTCTTGACTTCATTAGTTTATTTAGTTCCCCGGCCTTGAGTTAGGAGTACTCCTTTTTTTTTTTTTTTCCAGTGCTGACTGCTGATTCCTTCCCCTGCCCCATCTTTCTTTCTTTCTTTTTTTTTTTAACACTCTTCACTCTGCAGTGGCAGTGATAGTATGGATTACGATGACTCAAGCTCTTCTTACTCATCCCTTGGCGACTTTGTCAGTGAGATGATGAAGTGTGACATCAATGGGGATACTCCTAGTAAGTGTACTTGGGGAAATTGGCCAGCTCTGAGCAGAGTTTGGGGTTCTGAGGTGGTGGAGTCTATAGCTGTGGTCCTTGGGTTTGGCAGATGTGGATCCTCTGACACACGCGGCACTGGGGGATGCTAGTGAGGTGGAGATTGATGAGCTGCAGAACCAGAAGGAAGCAGAAGAACCTGGCCCGGACAGCGAGCTCTCCCAGGAAAACCACCCCCAGCGCTCTAGCTCCAGCACCACGGCCAGCAGTAGCCCCAGCACTGTCATCCGTGGAGCCCACTCTGTACGTGAGGACACAGAGGGTGGACGAGTGAGAACTGTTGCCTGGGATGTGGGCCTTATTGTCTCTGTCAGGAAAGTCGTGATGTATCGATTTGCCTTCTTCCTTGCCATCTTCCTGGCTCCCTCTCCATACATCCTGTAGCTCAGGGCCTGTCTGAAACAGTTCTGACCTCAGAAGGAGGTCACTGGACTCTGTTCAGGGTGTACCTAAGATCCCTCTCACGTAGTTTGTGGGGAGAGAGAACAGGGGTGTCATAGGGACTTTTTCCTACACATTCCATAGGAATCTGACAGGTGTGACCTGACACTGCTAAAACTGAGGATACAGGAAAGCATTACTGGGCAGCAGGTGACCCCTTCTTATTTAATGTGGCCCCTAGGAACTTGCTGACTCTACGGAGATGGATGATAAGGCAGCTGTAGGCGTCTCCAAGCCCCTTCCTACCGTGCCTCCCAGCATTGGCAAATCGAGCGTGGACAGGCGTCAGACAGAAATTGGAGAGGGGTCAGTGCGCCAACGAACCTATGACAGTCCGTACTTCGAGCCCCAATATGGCTTTCCCTCTGAGGAAGATGATGATGAGCAGGGGGAAAGTTACACTCCCCGATTCAGCCAACATGTCCATGGCAATCGGTGAGAGCCTGAGGGTCCCTTCTAGATGGGTGACTGAAGGACCTCACTAATGTGGACCCTGGGCGAGGGGTAGTCAGAAAGTCTGAGAAGTCTGAATGCCCTCGTGGTCCTGAGAGGTCCCCAGAGGGTGGTACTTTGCTCTGGGAATTTAGGAGTTTGGGAACGGGCGCAGTGAGTAGCTTAAGGCCCACACTTCCAAGACAAGGTACCCCTGCCTGGGGCTCATTGGTGCCACTGTGCATTCCAAGGGCTCAAAAGCTGCTGCGGCCCAACAGCTTGAAACTGGCAAGTGACTCAGATGCAGAGTCAGACTCTCGAGCGAGCTCTCCCACCTCCACCGTCTCCAGCAACAGCACCGAGGGCTTCGGGGGCATCATGTCTTTTGCCAGTAAGTGCCTTTATCTCTCTCATTTTTCTATTCCATTTTCTCTACAGTAGGGCCTGGCTGTGGCAAATGTTGCTTAGAACTTTAAATGCAGGGCTGGGTGGGCATTATCAAGCCCCAGTTCAGATCATTTGGGTGATATCGAATGAGGTGTTTTCAGGACAGGGACAGATTAACCATTATTTTCACACCTGGAGGATTCAGTCTGTTTCAGGTAAGATCACTGAGTGATCAGCTAAGAGATGCGTATTATGTTCAAAAATGACACCCTTGTCTATGTATTTTGTGGAAATATTCTGGTCAAATTTGGTTTGTGTATATACCTAACATTTTTGCCTGATGAGGGACTTTTTCATGAACATGCTTTGAAATCTATACAAGATTTACTTTTGTGCATAGAGTATTTTCTGATATGAGGGGTGGTGTCAGTTAAAGATTCAAGATAGACTGGGGACTAGAGAGAGCCAACATAGGGATCATTGTGATTGTGAGTTTTCTCAGAAGCCAGGGACAGCACCAGTGTCAGACCAAGGCACATTAACTACAGGTTTTCACTGTGCTGGCAGTAGAGGAGGGACTTGGATATTATCATGAGAGGTAGTCAGAGAAAGTTGTTATTGGGCTATGAGCAATCCTGGCAGTGACGCCTTTGTTTGTCCTAAGTTAGACATGATCCTCTCTAGCATAGATAAGAGGCACTGGGATTATATTTGACAAGAAGGGAGGTGAAGATGATGATACAGCCATTGGGGTACAGTACAATGCTGTGAGTGTTTACCCCCCTAACTCATTGTTCTCACACCCTCCTCCCCTTTGATAGGCAGCCTATATCGGAACCATAGCACAAGCTTCAGTCTTTCCAACCTCACACTGCCCACCAAAGGTGCCCGAGAGAAGACCACGCCCTTCCCTAGTCTGAAAGGTAACTGCAGCCCCTCTTATGCCAAACCAGGATTATCTGGGAAATATTTCAGGCCTATGGGTCCTTGTCAGGAGCCCTGTGTATGATGAATCATTTGATCTGGCTGTTTCCCTCATATTGCTTCTCATGGCTTTCACTGCACACTGTGGGCTTCTGATGGTTGTCAGATGGAAACTCTTTGTAGTTAGAGAGAAGACCCTGTCATGTCACTTAGGATAATGGCAGCTGTGGAATTACTGCCACTTCTGCGGGGAACTTTGTCAGAGTTACCTGATTAAGACGGGGATCATCGGCTACCACCAGTCACCTGCCAGGTTGCTACTGCATGAACTTCAGCATGACCTCCATCCCAAGGAGCTGGTCCACCAGAGGACAGCAGTGTTCATAGAGTTAAGAAGCCTCTTACTTTGGCTGTACATCAACCTAGGACCTCTGAGTGGGCCGGGTGGTATTGGCTGGCTTCTTAGGGGAGTTATGAATTTCTGATCTCTGACAGTTTGAAGTACTCTTCTGAATTTAATCTGACTTTTGTTTGTTGTTTCTGGATTTCGTGCTGAAATATTCAATTATAATAGGAAGTAGAGTGAGAAGCAGCACCGTGTATTCTTTACCTGGCCTTTCATCCCCAGTGATTAAAAATGCTGGGAGTCTAAGTAATGTTTTTTGGTGAGAATGGGAACATAGGATAGATAGGCAAAAGGACTTCATAGCTTGTGGTTTAGGGACCTAAAGAACACCACTACAGTGAACCCACACATGAGTAGGTGAGTTAGGAACAGAAAGGTGTTAGTGTCACTGGCTTTCCATTTGATGCATTTGCAGAGGAGAGTAATTGAAACTCTCGTTGCATGCTGATGCTTCATCTCATTTGCTGCACTTATTTCTTCCATTCACCTCCCATCCTCACACTTCCACGGCCCCACCCAACTCCCCACAACAGTGTCTGCAAGATGAGTCCCTTCCCTATGTGTACCCGCAGGCCTCCTGGACCCCGGTGCTGGATGTTTCATGAAAACCAGTGGTCCATCCTTCATGCATGTGCCTGTGTAGTATGTGAACGCTCCCCCCATGTAATTTACCCTGCCCATACTGGCTGCAGTCTTAATGGATGGCCATTCCTAGAGCCCTCTGTCGGCTCCTGGCCACTTGGATCAGGCTTCCAGCTCTGAGGGGCCTAAGAGCCAAGGTTATGTGCACTGTTCAAGCTTTGTGAGAATGCTCCACTGAGGGGTATAAGGGTTGGGGTATCATGGTGCACCTACTAATTGTGTATTTTGTGTCCCAGTATTTGGGCTAAATACTCTAATGGAGATTGTTACTGAAGCCGGCCCCGGGAGTGGTGAAGGTGGGTCTCGCCTGTGAGCTGTGCATGATGTTTTTTTTCCTAGTATCTTCTGTGCCTGCCTGAAGGCCATCCTCCTCATGGAGCAAGCGGCATCACATGAGTGACCTGCCTTGCCCCGTCCCCCCATGACGCCCATGCTTGTCCACGGGGTGTGCTGCTGGTGCATGTGGAGTGGCCTGAGTCTTCATCCCCACCTCCTCTACATTGCCATGGCTGGTTTCTACCTATGTGTGATGCCCTGGTGCCACGCTCATCCAGCCCTTCTGGGGAATGGGTCTGGAACATGGCTTCCCAGAGCTGTGCTAACACTAGCTACCGGGCTACAATAGTGATGTCTCTCATTCCTACCTTCCTGGCTCTAGGAAACAGGAGGGCCTTAGTGGATCAGAAGTCATCTGTCATTAAACACAGCCCAACAGTGAAAAGAGAGCCTCCATCACCCCAGGGTCGATCCAACAATTCTAGGTAATAAATGGCGGAGCTGGTTTAATAGTTCTTGGGTAGAGGTGGTGATTCTTGTACAGAACTTTAGGAATGCTCAAGGGTAGGAGAGAAACTCTCAGTGAGTAGATGAAATCAATTTCTTGCCAGCACTTCCCATCCTGACTCAATCCCCAGGCAACAGTAATAGCATACAGTGTTGAGGAGGGGGAACAGCAGAGTGGGTACATGGGCAAACCAAGTTATCTGGAGAGGTGGGGGATGTACTGGACCTAGACTTTGGAGACTCGGCTTTGTGTTTTGCCCCTAGAGGCAAATATCTAGTCCAGTGAAAGGGGGGATGCTCTGCAAAGGAGCTGTTGACCGCAGAGGTGGTGTGTGGACCCCATAGTGAGAACCAGCAGTTCCTGAAGGAGGTTGTGCACAGCGTTCTGGATGGCCAGGGAGTTGGCTGGCTCAACATGAAAAAGGTGCGACGGCTGCTGGAGAGTGAGCAGCTGCGAGTCTTTGTCCTGAGCAAGCTGAACCGCACTGTGCAGTCAGAGGAGGATGCCCGCCAGGACATCATCCCAGATGTGGTCAGTGTTTGGGGTTGAGCGTTGCAGTCTCCTGGGAAGCGGGACATGGACACCAAAGGCAGTTTTGCCGACAACAGCCCCTGGGTTATTGTTGCAGGAGATCAGTCGAAAGGTGTACAAGGGAATGTTAGACCTGCTCAAGTGCACGGTACTAAGCCTGGAGCAGTCGTATGCCCGTGCAGGTCTGGGCGGCATGGCCAGCATCTTTGGGCTTCTGGAGATCGCCCAGACCCACTACTATAGTAAAGGTAGGGATTGTACCAAATGAGCATCATGCCATCCACAACTTTCCCACTTGTCTCCAAAAGAGAGTGAACTTACTGTCCCTGTGACAGATTTCTCAATGCCGAGCTGCTTCCCATGAGGCTTCGGGATTTTATTTTCTAGCACGTTTATACATAGTGGATGTTTCTCTGTCATGAAAAATGTCGATTTTTCTTTCCTTGTACTTCTTCCATTCCATGATCTCTTGTATCTTTGCTTCTCCCACCTCATTTCCATACCTTGATTCCCACTCACTATCTCTTTGACCTCATTCTATATTTGGTCTTTTCCTCAGAACCAGACAAGCGGAAGAGAAGTCCAACAGAGAGTGTAAATACACTAGTTGGCAAAGACCCTGGCCTGGCTGGGCGGGGGGACCCAAAGGCTATGGCACAGCTGAGAGTTCCCCAACTGGGACCTCGAGCACTAAATGCTACAGGAAAGGGTCCTAAGGAGCTGGACACGAGAAGCTTAAAGGAAGAGAATTTTGTAGCATCTATTGGTATGTATCACTGTCTGGTATGGTGGAGGGGTCCTGGCCTCTTAAATATCCCTCTTTCCTCTCAATTCATCCAGAATCCTGCCTTTCTCTTCCCCATGCTTTGCATTTCAGAGAGGAAGACAAGTCTGTGTCCATTTCCAATGGCATTTCTTGATACTTTTCTGTCTCTTGTGTTTGATTTGCAGCCACCCCTATCTACATCTTAGAGGAAGAAAGGAAGTTTTGTTTAGAGGGTCAAGTGAGGCTTAGTGCAGGGAGTCTGAGCTATATACCCTTGGATCCCTCTTTTTATTTACATCTGGATTTCCTCAGCCACATAGTAGAAAGGCCATGTGAGCTCCCGGAAGCTATCGGGAAGTTTATAGGTGCATCTTTGGGCTATACACTTAGAATTGTCTGGGTCTCTGAAGCCAGTTTTCCCCCATTCAGCCATCCCTCTGCCCTTGAATTTGCTCCTCTGAGGCTTGTCTGGCAACCCCATTTCTCTGGATTCTGGACCTCAGAGGTATAGATTTCAGCTCTTCTTTAAACCCTTCCTCACTAGACTTGAGTAAGAGCTTGTGTTTGGTGTTTCTCTGTTCCCACTAACCCGGCACCTTAGTGAGCTCTCTGGGTATCACCTCTGTTTGGCTCACTCCCTACTTGACCTTGAGTTATCTAGGTTAGGTCTTTCTTTTTCTGGTTCTAGGTCCCTGAGCAATATGCTTTCAGTTTATTTCCCTTTGCCACAACCATTAGCAGTCAGTTGCCTTATGTATGAGCCCTGGTGGTGCAGTGGTTAAGAGCTTGCCTGCCAACCAAAAGGTCAGCAGTTCGAATCCACCAGCCAATACCTGGAAACCCTATGGGGCAGTTCTACTTTGTCCTGTAGGGTCGCAATGAGTTGGAATCAACTTAAAGGCAATGGGTTTTTTTTAATGCATGACCCATAAATGGTCACGAGGAACCAGTTTCCTTTTTAGGGGGAGCTGGACTTCTCTAGCCCAGCGTAATGCTGTCCTAGAGGCAGTCAACTCCAGCTTTCTCCTGCCTAATATGATGTTCTACAAAAACCACTGACCTGCAAGTCTGGAGGTCTGGAGTTTTACTCCTGTTCTTCCTCTAGCTGGGAATGCAACTTTGGGCAAATCACTTCCCCTCACAGGGTCTCTATATTCTCATCTGAGAAATGAGGAGACTGGGCTAAGTAACTTCTAAAGTTTCTTTCAGGAAAAGAATCATTGTGATTGGTGTTCTTTCTTCTTTACCCCTATTAAGATTCTATTCTTGACTATTTTATGTTCCCTCTCACTTCTTCTGGAAGGAAGAGAGGAACTTAGTTTCCATTTACCATCCCAAATCAGTTGACATAACCAGCTCTTTGACCAGGTAAAGGCGTTTTTCCAGATGACTGGCTGAGAATGGTCTCGTGGAAGGGCAAGCACTGATTCTGAGGGTGAGCTGTATTTTGATAGCACAGGAGGGATGGTAATTATTGCATAATTTGTCCTCTGTGCAATCCAGTGTTTCAAACAGGTTTGTGTTCATGCTTCTGAAACCCTTTGGCTGCTTGAGGTGGTCACCTATCTTATCTGGAATCTTTAAAGTTTACCATTTCCCAGAAGGGGAAGCTCATTTGGCAGAGACAGCATGATGAGGTATAAAGTTTAAACTGATCCTTAGTTACATGATCTTGAGCAAGTGTTCCAGCCTCTTTAGGATCAGTTTCCTCATGCCAGAATGAAGACATTTGCTCTTAAGGGCCCTTCCACTCTAGCTTTCTGCAGGTATTTTACTGCCACATTGGGGTTCGGGTTCAAAATTTGTAGTCTAGTTCCTGAGTTTGTGGGAGAGCATTGGATCTCTTGATCCCCCTCACTCCCCAGCCAAAATGAACATATCTTTTTATCTCTTGGCTTGTAATCCTATGTCTGATACTGAATCAACTTGGGTGGGTGGGTTTCCATTTTGTCTGTCTGACCAGCCTCTGACTCTGTCTGTCTTTCTCTCCTGCTTGCATTGCATCTGGGGTAGAATTGTGGAACAAGCACCAGGAAATGAAAAAGCAAAAAGCTTTGGAAAAACAGAGTAAGGAACAAATGCCCCTTCCTGTTCCCAAGTCTCCCATACCTGCCAACTCCCCAGGCCCTGTTGGGGCAGACTCCCTTTGTCAGCCTCGCCCAAAATTTGCTCTTGTGGGGGTATTTGGACTGAGTTAAAGCAGGTAGGTGGTATGTGACTCATAGGTATATGGCTTATAGGCTGCTGCTTCTAGCCACCCCCCATCCCAGCAATCAGGCTGCAGTCAGGGTGTCTACTGAGTAAAATCCCTTAGAACTTGGTTCTCTATTGCTTCAGAGTTGGTGGGGGGAACATTTGCCTATTTCAGTGCCCCTCATTGGCTGATATCTCCCTCACCCATTAGAATGCCTGTGGGCACAGTTGGCAGAGATGGTTGCTGTCCCTCCGTGTTGAGTCTGTAGCTGCCCAACTCTCTCTGGTGGCTTGCCTAGGCACGCTTTCTTGCTTTCTGTCATTCTGTCCTTCTGCCATACCATTGTGAGTGGGTGGGGAAAAAATGGGGGTGGTTTCTGTCTCAGATGTAGAAGTTGTAGGATGGGGTAGGCAGTGTCCAGTGAAACAGCTGGGGTTTCTTTATCTCATTGGGCCTAACCTTTTCTAGCCCCTTTGGAGACATTTGTTTGAGAACAACTGAGTGACCTGGGAACCCCGCAGTGGTTTCAGGCACCAGTGAAACTCTGACTCTTGAGTGCAGTGGAATGCAGTTTAAACATTTGTTTGTGGAGCTTTTCTGTTTTAAGGTGACTTGCCTAAATTTTCTCAGGTTGAGAAGTTGACTGCAGAACCCCTTGAGACCAGGTCTAATTCATCCTACTTGGTTCTGAAGGCATCTGGGGGCTTTTTCTTCCTGTGGGTCCTGAGGGGGGCAGTCCCTGGAAAGGTGACTGGGACTTGCTGGACAGGCCAGGGAACAGGCTGTGCTGCTGTCCCACTCCCTTCACCAGCCTGCCCCTGTCCTTTGTGCACTGAGTAACCAGAAGTCTTCCCCTACTCAGGGCCTGAAGCAATCAAACCCGTGTTTGACCTTGGTGAGACAGAGGAGAAAAAGTCCCAGATCAGAGCAGACAGTGGTGTGAGCCTGACATCTGGTTCCCAGGTTTGTGACATTCTTGCTGAGAATTCTGAGGATCAGATTTACTATCTCAAAATACATCTTTAAGTGGAAAAAACAAGACAACCTTAAAACAACATAAGTGTCCAATAATAGAGGCATGATTAAATAAACATATCTGTATAATATAACCTTCATAGCTATTAAAGACTTTTAAAAAATTTAGTGATACAGGCAAATGTTTACAAAGCTATATATAGTATGATTCCAATTTTATTCTTTAAGTGTATGTAGAAAAGGACTGAAAGGAAATGCACTAAAAACTTAACAGTGGTTAATGTGAGTGGTAGATTTATGGCTTATTTTTATTTCTTTCATGTATTTTCTACAGTAAGCATGTATTTCCTTAATGTCTGTTATTCATTTTTATTATGTAAGTCATATATATTTTATATTCAGGGGCAAAACATTTTAAAAAATATCTCTCCTGGAGGTGATAATAGAAGGGTAGGGAGTGGGAAAAGAAAGAAGGCACAATATTGCTTAGGGAACTGAGAACAGATTGAACACTCCCCTAATGTGCCTGTGCCCCTGTGTCTTGTTTCAGACGACTGATCCAGACTCTGTCATTGGTGTGAGTCCAGCTGTTATGATCCGAAGCTCAAGTCAGGATTCTGAAGTTAGCACTGTGGTAGGGGAACACCACACTGGCATCTTGGTGGGTGGGATGTGGATTTCTCCTTTGGAAAAGAGAGCTGTTTCCTCCTTTGGAGGCTGTTCTTAGTCTCAGGGCAGCAGGGTTCTCATGGTAGAGATGTTTACCTGTCATAGGTCTGTATATGTGGGGTCAGACCCTGAGATTTCATCCAGGGCTTCTACTCATCTTATAAAGAAGGTCCTTCAAGAGGCTATCAGACACATCTTTGGAATTTGATACTTTTTTATGGCATCAGAGAGCTCTAACAGCTTGACATTTCTTGGGTCCTTCCTTGGGGAGTATCCCTTACTACCTTTTTTCTTTTCCAGGTGAGTAATAGTTCTGGAGAGACCCTTGGAGCAGACAGTGACCTGAGCAGCAACGCAGGTGATGGACCAGGTGGTGAGGGCAGTGTCCACTTGGCAAGCTCTCGGGCCACTTTGTCTGATAGTGAAATTGAGACCAACTCTGCCACAAGCGCCATCTTCGTAAGCTTTGTTTACTAACCAAGGAAGACCATTTCGTTAATGGGGGAGGGAGGTGTACTAGAAAAGAATAAAAAGATAAGCGGCAGTAAAAAAGAAAAGATGAAGTAAGAAATGGATAATCCTTATATATTTGACCTGAAAGAGAATATTTCTTAAGGCTTTTTTCACAGAGTCATTTGACCCTGTGATCTGGGGTTTGAGCCCTCTCCTGAATCACTGATGAGTTAGGCTCTTTGCCCAGTCAGATAAAGCCTTAAAATCCTATGTAGTAACAATCCCATGCTTAAAATAGACAAAGCAGTGCCTTTGTGGCAATGTCAGGGCAATTACAGCTCTCATTAGTATCAGTCTACCTATTTCTGTGAATTAGTCCAGTTTTATTCTTTTCACTGCTCTATTTATATAGAACTTAAAAATAACATTTCTTTTGGTATATTCTTAATGGTTATTTGAAGTTTTCATTCATTAACAAACATCTATTAAGTGATTTACTAAGTGCCAGGTTCTGTACTAAAGAAACAAGGGTGAATAAGGCATGATTCCCACTTCCAAGAAGCTTGCAATTCAGTAGTCTTTTTTGATAGATGAGGGAAAAAAGGCTTCAGGAAACAAAGAGCTTACCCTAGGTCACACAATAAGCCAATGATCAGGCTGGATTGAAACTAATTCTTCTTTTTTGAAGACGTACTGCCTGAGACACTGCTTTTCAGTGTATGCATGCCCCCTTTAGGCGGTGTGAACATTCTGGTACACTTGCCACTTTATTAGAGTGAATGAAAATGGATGTTCTCTACAAGAGTTCATATATCCTTATCTTTGATTTATGGGGAGAATGGAAAATGAAATTAAATATTTAACCCTGGTAATCATTCCCGCGCCCAGGGCCTTCTGTATAGGTGTTGCTAACAGAGCAAGGACATCCCATAGTGAAGGTGAGGAATAAGATTGAGAGTCAGCTATTCAAATTAATGGGTCTTAACTCCCAGTTTTTAAAAGAAAACAAAAATCCTCACCACTGGACCAGTAAGCAACATCATGATAAATGGAGAAAAGATTGAAGTTGTCAAGGATTTCATTTTACTTGGATC